GCTCAGTGGCTTTTCTTCTTCAGTGGGAGGTGGTAATTCGTTTGTCTCAGAAACTATATCGCTTTTATCCTCAACTATGTGCTCAGGACCATGTTTTTGAGAAGTCCATGGACGTTTGGGATGAAAAATTTCGCTCCGAGTCACCATCCATTTCAAATTCAGAAACTCGAGCGCATTTCTCCCTGCGCCCTTTGAAAAGTTTTGCAACATCCGAAATGGTGCGGGATGCGAGAGGCCTCTTCCGATGATTGACGATTTCTTTCCCATCTGACTCTGTGATGGCTAGTAGTGCTGGTTTCTCTGCACCTTCGTCCACAATAGTTCCCAACACAGAAAACAGAAGTTCAACTAGCTTAGGATAGCCATGGAAAGCATCCAAAGCTGCAAATATCGACCCAACTAAGTCATCAAGGTAAGGAATTAAACTAGCTCCACATTGCTTAACCATCATAAGTAGCACTTGGGGAGCTTGCGGCGATATGTCAAACGTATTTAACTTCAGAGACACCGAATTCACTAGGTAGTCAACATTTTCGACAAGCATTGCACTTGCGTTCGGATATTTGCACGCCTTAGTCAAGACATTGAGGCATGTAATAGCGTGATTTCGCAAGTTAGGGTTGTTGGAGCCCATCAACTGCAACACAGGGTATAAGGTGTCAATCAATTCTGGTCGAAACGTTCCACCAAGCTGCTGTGCCTGAAGTGCTACAGCTTCAAGAGCTAACGCAGGGAGACGCCAATCTGGAGGATTAGAACTTGATAGTAGCGGAAGTGAAATTGAGTATAGCTCCTCGACAATAGCAGCGCGAGATGGCGAGTCAGAATCCAGATCAAGCATGTCATCCAGTGATGCTATATCTGCTGGAATACTTTTTATAAATGAGAGGGTAAGCCAAAAAGGAGCCAAGACGGCATCGCTAGACGATCCGTTTACTTTCTTTAACATCGAACGCACTATTGATAGAGGTTTATCTGCGGCGCTAAGTTCCGAAATCATAGATTGGAGCTCTGACAGCGTTCTTCGTTGGCTGCGGTGTTCTAGTAGCACAGGTTGGAATGATAGGGAATTGCTCTCATCCAAAGAAATACTGAGCTCGGACCCTGTGGCAGAAGAACTGGGTAGGGGTTGAGGAGCTGTTGAAATGGTTTGGATTGCGGCAGAAACACTATCGCACAAGCTTGTAGCGAGTGTGTCATCTAAAATATCCGAGCTTGGTTGAGTTTGGGATAGGACATGGAACGCAGTCGATATTTGTCTAATTGCCCTATGTTTGGCTGTATCGTTGTTTGATTGCATCATTCTCGGTAATGCAATAATCCACGTGTGCATGCTTGATTTGAGAAGATCCAAGACCGGGCCAGATGAGATGACGAGATGTTTTAAAGCTACATAAGCTTCACTTGACGTATTTTGCTTGTCATATTCAGCGAGAACTACGACAGTGTCTACCATCATCGACAGTGAGGCTGCGAGGGAGCTCGGACATCGCTCAATGATCATGAGGCATAATTCGAGTAAATAATGGCGAACCTCAGGTCTTTCATGGGTTCTCAGCCGAATCACGTTTCCTAGCGCAAGCTTTACTTGGGATGCTGTCGCATTTAGCCACGAATCATCGAGGACTACAACGTCTTTGCCTTTTCGGTTCGTAGCATCTTCTCCTTCGGCTTTTGAAGCTGCAACATCAGCATCATTAAGTACAGCCTTCAAGATTTCTGTGAGCGCTTGGAGGTAACAACACAAAACTTTGTACGATCGCCGCATTTGAGTGGTTGGCCGCAGAGCTTTGGTCAATGAAGAGACACTCCTGGGTAAAAGGCTAGCCAACACCACACGATGGGTGATGCGCGTGTTTAAGGTCCGTAAAGCCGTTGCTGCAGCCAGTTGGACCTGATCAGAACTACCGTCCGTGATACCTTCCAGTAAAACATAGACAGTTTGATCAATGATAGTGGATGTTCCCACTTCATTGAATACGGCTGATGCAGCTGCTGGCCCATTTAGGACCTGGCACACGCTTCCTATACAATCGAATGCGGCGACAACTAACTCTTCCGAATCAGGCCTCTGCTGGTCTTGACCTTGACTGGGAACACCACCACCCACAATGGTAAGGAGGATAAGCAGCTGCTTTCCCATCGGAATAGAAATATTTTGACGCCATCCTTTCTCTATCAGAATCTGTAGGCACCGCACGGCCAGCTCTAGGCAGTGGACCGAGACCCTTTGGGTCTCATTGAATATGTGCGATAGAGGGAAAAATGTGTACTCTGCAAGTTTCTCATCTAAGCCATGCATACTGGCAACCTCGATGACCGCAGCATGCAGTGGTTTCAATGCCTTGAGTACATCCTTGGAGGTCGCAAGGTTAGCTCGAAATTTAAGCCCTACGGAGCTGAGTTCCACGCAAGGGGGGCGCAGCTTTTAACAGCAAAGATAACAATATAGTTAGCAAGGACGTATACCACGCTGCCAAAAAGCATTAGAGGCGAATTTATACAAACCTTTGCAAAAGCGTCCTGTCGTGAGCGGTCCATGTGCTAAACGTCCTAGTTTTAAATCATATCCAGATGTTAATATGTCAATACAGCTTGAAATTTAGCGGCCATGTAAGCTGTAGAATTCCATGATATATAGGGGGCTATCTACTTGACTTTCTCAATTCTTTAGGCTGTCCAAGCTTGCAACATGAGCCCTGCCTCCGCGAATATTCACCGATGCATTTTTGAGATTGAGGAACGGCGGCAATCAGACCGGATTAACTATCACCCGCATGGGCTGTTCGGAGCTTAGTTAAATTATTACTAATCGCTTCGGCATGCCGTGCTGTGGAAACTCTCAATCATAAATCGGTCATCCCATGTCAGTCCGAAAGTCACCTTGAGAAACCCAGATGCTGTGTCCAAGATGTACGGATTATGTGGATTTCTGACGCTAAATCATCTGGAAGGATTCGGCACTCGCTGGGAAGACTTGGGATATGAAGAAGGGCTCATCTCTCTCGGCCCTACCCTTTGGAAAATTCATTTTGGAAATTGGCATATATCATGATCTCGTCTGTCCTTCTGCCTCTTGAAACTCAGAACCGTTTCCAAATGTGGCCCCGGAAGATGTCGGATGTATTGCGTATAAAGTGACTTTTTGAGGGTTCTTAAAACTTTACCGAGGATGTTTGAAGCTATGCCGTGCAGCCAGGAAAAAACTCGTTGGCGATATGCATAGTTAACTATTTGTCTCTTCAAAGGGAAATGAAGTCGCTGATCATTAGAGTCGTCTGTGTCTCCACTGTGGTGTAAGGAGCAGTCTCTTTCTCAATAAAGTGAGTGAGCTCTTCAAAACAGAAAGGATTTCTTCCCATATTGCTCGGTTTTGTCCTGTCTATTACTATGACATTCTTTTTGGTTACAACAAGTTGTAACTGGTGTTAATGAAGCTTCTGTTTTTTCACATATCTTAGCACCTCTATTTAAAACCCGTCGCTTTTCATGTAAAAGAGCCCTTGTCCTCCCGCAATCAAGGTTTCGGCAATAGGACCTTCTATACGGTTACTCAATATCATGATTGGTTGGTGTTCCGCATTGAAATGCAAAGGGTGTATGGTCCACTTCATGGAAAACCGAGAGGTTTGAAATGCGAAAGTACATTGTTTTGCCTGCTTTCTAAAGACCTCTACTCATATCTTCTTCAACTCTTGAATCGATCTATATCAAGATTGCTTTCGAAGCCGATACACTCACGGTGTGAAATCACTCTTTCTAGGACATATCCTTGACGGGCTTATTTTTAAGGAGCTGGGCGCTGTGTAAGGTAGCTTGGCCGTTCCCATAGCTCCATGTAGAAGAGGAGACATAGATGAGCAGGAATTCCTCTTTCGCTATGCGACCAAAGCGTCTTTTAGCACTGGGATTTTTCGACCTCGCCGCTGCGACATCTCCATTTGCCTATGACCCATCCGCTTTACACAAGCGGAATAGCAATTACGGGGAGGAGGACAGTTGCCTGGCGGAGCCCGTGCCTGTCACTAAAGTTCCAAAGACCAATGTTTGGGCCGGGATTAGCGCTGAAGATAACCTGGCTGTGTGGGAGCTCCTTCACAGCCCTACCACTGGCCTCAACTTGACGCATCCCGAAAATGCAACGATAACGGACAATTATGTCTTCTGGATCGACGCTTTGCCGACAAACAAGTCGGCTGTACTTGCTTACATTGATGGCAATAACCTGCCACCCCCGAAGTATGCCCGGACTATCATTTTTGAAGGTGGAAGGAATGGTCCTAGATCTCAAGAGTACATGGTGGGGCCTCTTCCAGTCTCCCCTGAAACCACTGTCGAACCCCTTGACTACATCTACAATGGAGGTATGGGTGGATCCGTGCCTTTTAATGCTCGCTACTTCGACGACATACGCGAAAGGGCTGTGGAGCCACTGATTTCCTCTGTTATGTCGAAACTTGCCAACATAACGTCTGCATTGTTCCAGGGTGGTGTGTATTACGGCAGGTATGACAACAGGACAAATCTGATATATGGAACTACGGATCCTATTTCTTTCGATGGAGAACAAGCATTCCTCAACATTATGTTTCGATCTCCATCTAGAGCGCCATTTTTGACTCCAATCGACTTCTTTCTGCTGATTGACTGGACAGGGACGGACCCGTCCTCTTACTCTGTGAAGGGATTTGTGACCAAGGAGCGGTTCTTTCGTACGACCGAGGAATTGACAACATCGTTCGAAGCCGGCGAGCTGAAACAGGAGTTTGACCAGACCTTAGAAGATTCCTGGACTTTGCTGAATCGTAATCCTGAGATGGGAATTCGTAAGCTGGATGAGAAATTCTCTGCCACTATCCTTGAATTGGGAGGGAAAAGGTACAAGTTGGATACAGACCAGCGGTATGTTGAGTATATGGGTTGGTCTTTCTATATGTCGCATAGTCGCTCTCTAGGACTCATGTTATTTGATATCAAGTTCAAAGGTGAACGGATTTTGTATGAATTATCTCTTCAAGAAGCAACCTCTCAATACGGAGGAAACCAACCAAAGGCTGCCAATACAGGTCAGTATTGCCATCTTGCCCCGAGTGACCCAAATTGCCAGTCAGTTCGTCAAACTAATTACCCATTTACAGTCTTTCAAGACACCTACTTTGGTTTGGGAACCAAGATGGGGACTCTGCTCGAAGGATACGACTGCCCATTCGGGTCCACGTTTTTGAATCTGACTTACCACGAAGGCAACCACACAATCACTAGCATGGATTCCCTTTGCATTTTTGAGACCGACCTGGGATTTCCTCTTTCCCGCCACCGCTCCGATGACGAAGAGTCTAATTGGGCTTCAAAAAACCTTGGTGTCATCAAGGGGAATGCGCTCATAACCCGCGTCGTGGCAACCGTTGATAATTACGATTACATGTTCGACTACGCGTTCCACGTCGACGGTTCTCTCGAGATCTCCGTTCGTGCCAGCGGCTACCTCCAGGCTAGTCCTTACTTCGAGTCGCAGCAGAAATGGGGCCCTCGCGTCCAGCAAGCGACCCAAGGTTCAATCCACGACCACATCCTGACTTGGAAAGCTGACTTTGACATCGTCGACACAGCCAACTCCTTCGAGATTAGCAAATTAGTCGCAGCAGAGCAATCTCAGCCCTGGTTCCCAGAACTAGGCGTTTTCGAACAGATTGAGCTCCAAGCCAGCTATCTCGAAAAAGAAGATCGTTTCAACTACGAACCAAATAATCAAGCCATGTACTGTGTCGTGAACAGAAACAGAAAGAATGCCTGGGGCGAAAATCGCGGATACCGTATTGTGCCCGGCCGCTCTAACGTCCACCTCACAGCGGGCAACTCTCCCTTCTCACGCAAGAATTGCGAATTTGCGAAGCAGCATCTCGCCGTCACTCGCCAGCATGACAATGAACCCTTTGCCAACTCCGTCCAGAACGCTAATTTGCCCTGGAAACCACAGCAGGATTTTAGCAAGTTTTTCGACAACGAGTCCCTTGACCAGGAAGACCTTGTGGTGTGGATGAATATGGGCATGCACCATTTCACACGCGCTGAGGACGTGCCTGTGACGCTGTTCAGCGAGTCGTATGCCAGTATGATGCTTTCACCGCATAATTTTTTTGACCGGGCGCAGGATGGCGACTTAATGAATCGGCGTTGGGTTGTTGAAGATAAGGAGGGTGGAAAATTGGATTTTGAAGATTATGGTGTGAAGCTTCCGCAGTGTAGGGTAGAGTTCAAAGAGCCGGTTATGCGCTTCAATTCAGCACTTGAGAGACTTTAGAACATGGGATTTTTGGTTTAAGGCATATGCCCTCAAGGGTTTCTTGAGTGACTTAGATCTCTCTACGTTGTTTTAAGTTTAACCGCAGGACTACGCCCACGGGGACGCAAAGAGCGGTAGTTTCCTTACAGAGTTCGGCTGCCGCTCTGGCTAGTTATTGGTTAAGAGACCGTGTGTGTCACTTCCTTCTGGGTTCTATGAAATATCAAATGTCCACCCCTTAAAATGTCTGTGCATCAGCTTCTTCAAGCCTGCCATCACCAACTTACCTATTAAGGAGTGGGTGATTGAGTTTTGTCAGACAGAAAGGCAATGGTTTAAGGCAGGTTGAAATACTTGTCAAACGGCATTATCTTGGGAAGTTCGTCGACTCCGATTCCTGGTTAGAGAATAAGCAGGTAGTTGTTGGATGGCAATATTCACTCTTCTAACTACTCAGAAATGTCAGAGTTAGCCGAAGGGTTGTAGGGAGAAGTATGCACATATTAAACCGTTTTATTGAGAGTGCCGATTTTAGTGGAAGTGGGTTTTTGACTGGTGATGGGTCAACGTCCAGCCAATAAACAGCCGGAAAATCATCTTACAGAAAGAAAATTGAGAAGGTTAGATGTTGCTTTGAGAACCAAGCAGGTCAGATAGCTAGCGTCGAATTTTAGATGGCTTTGGCAAATCGCAGCGCTCGCGAGACGTTCTCCGGTCTGCAAGGCTTATCATATGTTCCGGTGGCTTGGATGAGGGGCTCTGTGGCTCCTGGTAAAAGGACACTATCCATTGCCTCGAGAATGTGGGTTTTGCACCCCGGACAACTTCAGAGAAGTGCATTTTTATCGCTGTCAATAGCATTCAAACAAAGCTTATGTGGATTGCTTTTACTTCCACACTGCTCGGCCGGACGTTCCCCGAGTCGTGATGGATCCTATCAGCGCTGTTGGCCTTGCAAGCAATGTCGTGCAGCTGCTAGACTTTGGAATCAGGCTGGCAGCTAAAGCGCACGAAATATACGTCTCTGCCGAAGGAGCTCAGGTGCACAATCTCGAGTTGGATGCTATTACCCAGAATTTGGTCACCTTGAATAGGCGGGCTCATAATCGATCCCGCAAGGTCTGTGCTTATGCTACTTCCGAGGACGAGAAAGCGTTGCAGGACTTAACAGAACGCTGCAATGAGATTGGGGAGGAACTAATAAAGGCACTGCAAGCTGCAAAAGTGCAGGGAGCTCATAAACACTGGAAAAGTGTTAGACAGGCCCTGAAAAGCACCATGGGTAGAGATAAGATTGAGGACTTGTACAGTCGACTCAAGCAATACCGCGAACAGATTGTCGTTGTCTTGCTTGTGATTACCAGTGCCAAACAGACCGCCCTAGGCGAAAATGTGGATGCGGTGAGGCACGGTATCGTGGGTTCTGAGTCGAGAATTCTCGACGAGACACGGCAGAGTCGTTTCCAAATTCTAGATGCCATCCGACGCTCAAACTACAACCCCTCGAAACATGAAGATATATCGACAGTCTCAAGGTTACTATCGGAAATGGTCTTGCGGGGCTCGGAACAGAAGTTCAAGGAAGAAATCCGTGATAGTCTGTACTTTCCGAATATGCAAGACAGACGTGAATGGATTTCAAGCGCTCATAAAAAGACATTCAATTGGACACTGGAGGACAAAGCTGGCGAAAACGTTCCCTGGGATAGCCTGAAGGACTGGCTGTGCAAAGGAGACGGTATATATTGGTTGAGTGGAAAGGCTGGATCAGGAAAATCCACGCTGATGAAATACATCGACCAGGACAAACGAACTTTGGAATATCTAAAGATGTGGGCATCGCCACAGAGTATCGTATTTACGAGTTTCTACTTTTGGAATCCGGGCACGTCAATGCAAAAATCGCAGTTGGGGCTGTTACAGAGCTTACTCCACAAAATCCTGTCAAGACGACCAGAACTCATCCCCAAAATCTTTCCGTCTCTATCAGAGTACTACAGCACACATGGGAAAGCGAATTTCTCCTGGACAATCTCAGACCTGATGAGTGCGTTCAAGCTACTTGTAAACATCACATTCGAAGCCAGGTTTTGTTTCCTCATCGATGGCCTTGACGAATTTGATGGGGATCATCGGACCCTCATCGACATGCTTGTTAATATGACCGGGAGCCACAGCATCAAAATACTCGCTGCGAGCCGCCCGTGGCTTCTTTTCCAGGATGCCTTTCAGAATTGTCCGAAATTAACCCTACAGGATTTGACTCACGATGATATCAAGATTTTTGCCCAGGACTCATTATTCAACCACCCAAGGTTTTCAAGGGCGTTGGTTATGGAACCACAGCGTGCTCCCAAACTTGTATCTGACATTGTAAACAAGGCGTCCGGCGTATTCCTCTGGGTCTACCTCGTGGTGAGGTCGCTAATGGACGGCCTGACAAATGCGGACCGGATGGATGATCTCCAAAGAAGATTAGACCAGCTCCCTGCTGACCTCGAGCAGTTCTTTTCCCATATCCTGACAAGCTTGGACTCGTTCTACCTCAAACAGGCCTCTCAGCTCTTTCGTCTGGCACTTGAGGCTCCAAAGCCTCTGGCCGTTTTAACATTCTCCTACCTGGATGAATCCGACCCTGATTTTGCAATAAAAGGACCGATAAAAGCGATGTCGATCGAGGAAGAGACTATTCGATGCGAAGAAATTGAGCGGAGACTCAATAGCAGGTGTAAAGGGCTATTGGAGTCTCGCCGTCGAAGAAGTTGCGATGAATATTCCAATACTGAAGGAGTGGTTGCCGAGGTAGTCTCTTACGAGGTCGATTTCTTGCACAGGACTGTTCGCGACTTCTTGCGCACTCCAACGGTAGAGGTTCAGCTTGTCGCAGTTGACAATGTCGAATTTGATGCAAACATGACGTTGGCTCGGGCGTATGTGGCTCGGATCAAAGGTCTCCGGCACTCGTCACATTCAGAGGCCAACTTCCAGGCCTTGTGGGATATTGTGTTCGACATGATGTACCACGTTAGTCGCATGGGGGATGGCATATTTCAAAAGGCCCAAGTTGACCTTCTAGATGAGGTGGACAGGGCCGCTGCACACTTTCGAGAAGCTGCAATTGTCAAAAGATGATGCGATCCCGCGGCGCACTGGGTGAATACGGGTTATCGATTTGGCTTTGAATCGCAGTGGAACAATGATTTTATTAGCCTTTGTGTCCAATATAGGTTAATCTCTTATATTGAGCAGAAACTGTCTTCAGGGGTTTCACTAACCCGTGCAGGCAAGCCCTTCCTAGCCTTCGCGATGACAAGCACGAAAAATACAGGAGGCACCTCGAGTGGTCAGCTCGTAGGCATCCATTACTCAGAACCCAGAGTAAAAATGGTACAGTTCCTGCTCGAAAGGGGCTCCACTCCCAGTGATGTGGACAAGGGCGAAACAGTATGGGCCCGTTTCATAGTTTCCATGTACTTACTCACGATCGAGGCTAAGGTCCAGTTCTCCGAACAAGCCAAATCTTGGTTCGAGATTACGAAATTAATGCTACTTCGAGGGGCAGATCCACATATGATATGTCCTGTCAACGCCCAACCTGGAAAACCAATCGAAATATCAACCACGGGGCAAACAACGGCCATGGACGTTCTTTTCACGATCTTCGGCGCAGACGCCAGGTTCGATGTATCCGAACTTGAGGATTTGGTAGAGCAACCCCAAAGGCCTCCACAATACCGCAACGCGAACGACTCGTATCTCCAGGTCCCAGGAAACCAGCAAGGGGTTAATGTTTGGCGAACCCATTCTTCGTCGTCGTCCATTTCGAGTATTAGCGGACAATCTGCAATGCCCCCAAGTCTCCCAGCGGGATATTCACAAGCAGGCAACGGTGGCATACCAACGGCCTCCCCGCCGGTTGTCGAGGCGCCAGATATGATGGTACATATTCAAGTGCACGAGAGAGGCGCTCTTTCGACCCCTCCAAGAAAGAAGAGACACTCGCGGTTATCAAGCTTGTTCGCGAAGATATTGCCAAGGGAGAAAACGCCTCCCCACTCCCCTTTGGCCCCAGATATTCGTCATACCAAGGAACTTGAATGGTGAGAATAAGATTCATTTCTGAAGTTCTAATCAAAAACCCAAAATTGCAACACTGTTTTTTTTTTTTTTTTTTTTTTTTTTTTTTTTTTTTATATTTGAACTTTGGAAAGTTCTCGATCATCACCACGGTATGTATCATCATGCATGAATTCTCATGGCCTCTATCAGCAGGTTGAGGGTTGTGTGAAAACTATGGTGAATGACTTTTCGAACTGTGCAGACAGAGCATGTTGAGATTGGCCGCCATGAAACGCAAGACTCTCAATGAGCCGATGGGCGATATGTATAGCTAGAAACCTTTACTTTGATATTCAAGGGCGTTTGAGACGCCCGAGGATAAAACATACAGATGGATTTGGGTGGATAATTCACCTGTTCCGCTTTTCTGAATTTGATAACTGCGGGCCGGAAGAAGAAGTAAAGAGAAACACTGCTGGGGTGGTTTGTTGTCTTCATGTAACCTTTCTATCATATGGAATATTTGCCCTTTGACCGTCTATATGGTTGTATGGACGTCTCCTCCCCGGCTAAGGTATCATGTTGGATTTACCCTATCTACATGTATCTATAGATTTCTCCCAAATATAGGGGAAATCGGGGAGCACACCGCTGTCCTACCGATCCCACTGTGGGCTCCTCTTCTTCCATGAATCCGTCAGCGATGGATATTAAAAACCACAAATACCCATGGGAAAAGTCACCGGCGATTCCTACGATACCCTTGCCACTGCCATTGCTGTGTGTCTAATGCCTAATACCCGGTTCCTACGAGCTGATGGGACAGACCCCTTTCCCAACCCCTTGTCACTTACCCCCCCGATTTTCCACCCTCCGAGACGCAGCAGTGAGAGGAGGGACCACTCTACCACTATACCACACACACCGCCCTTGCTAGGCAGCCATAGGCACGTTCCGCCCCTTTACACCGCCCGTTGCCCGTTGCCTATTGCCCGTTGCCCGTCCCAACAGGGCTAGCGTGGTGCCTCTCCCGCCCTGTGGCCCGCCCTTCCTGCTTATTATAATAGTCCTCCGCTTTTCTTCTCCCTTTGTTCTCTCCATCTTCTTCTCCCTCCCCCGACAATCCCCGTTTCATCATCGCTGTCAAACCTCATCCGCCTCACCACCATCAGGTTCTCCATCTCCATCTCCATCTCCATCTCCGCCTCCGCCTCCGTCTCTGTCTCCGTCTCCGTCTCACCCTTGATCGAAAACTAATTTCTTCTTTAATTGTCCGACTTCCAGAAAGTACTACTCTTCCTGTCTTAACTTCTTCTTGCCAGACGCGTCTCGCGTCTGCACATGCACTCTTTCTAACGCGTATCCTTAGAATCAATCACCATGAAGGCCATCATTGCCCTTGCTGGGCTCCTCATCCTGACCGCCACAGCCGTGTGTCAAGATATGAGTCCGGTCCTTAACCTTGCTCCCTGCCCTGTAAGTAACTTCTTTTTGGTTATGCCCCTTTCCCCTTTCCACTTTTGCACCCATGACACCCCTTAATATCCGGGCTAATTCTGACAGAGGGGATGTGTCTTCGACACCCTTGGAAAGGCCCCTGATTATGGCTGCTCCTCCAGTGACGTTCCCTGTCTCTGTAAGAGCGAAGGGTATCAGCGTGAAGTCAAGAAATGTGTCCAGGAGAAATGCACTGCTGAGGAAGTCGAAGCCTTGGACAAAGCTGGTCGTGAAGTCTGTGATAGTGCTGGTATAATACCCAACCAGCTATTAATCCCCTTTGCTCCCCTGCATCTCTTTTCTTGCACGCAACTAATGCTTTTTGGTGTAGGAGCTCCTATTCCCCCCAAGACCACCACTGGAGCTGATCTTACCCTTCCAGTTCCCACTGTTGTGCTGCCAACTGTCAATCCTCTCCCTGAACCCCCTCGGTCAAATGTTCCATCTATTCCATCTGTCCCATCTGTCCCATCTGTCCCCTCTGTTTCATCTGCTCCTCAAAAAGTCGTTTCAACTATTGTTATACCTGTTCCCTCTGTTACTCCTGAAGTCCCTTCGGTTAGTCTCCCCTCTGCTCCTTCTGTGCCCTCTATGTCTGTCCCCCCTGCCCCTGAGTTGCCCTCCGTACCTGTCCCCTCTGCCCCTGAGTTGCCCTCCGTATCTGTTCCTTCCCTTCCTTCCCTTGCTCCACCCAGTGTCCCTACTGCCCCAGGTATGGGATCCATGACAGTTCAGCCCGTGTCATCCAACGCAGGAACTACCTACATGGATCCGGCTAGGAGTACTTCATCTGCTGTCTCCAGCTCTACCATCGAGCCATTCCTTGGCGCAGCAAATATGCTATTGCCAGTGCATGCAGGTGCCGTTGGCGTCGGGGTTCTTGCTCTCATAATCTAGGCTTGTCACCAGGGTCGAGAGGCCATGGGGTCTGGCAATGCTCATGTTGTACAGCAAGCAATCTCATTCCGATGGCTCCCATGCCCCTCTCCAATCATGGTGTCATCACGTTGTTCAACACCTTTTGAAACTCCCACTTATTATTTCAAAGTATTCGCACATTTCGATTTTCATGTATTAACAGCTTCTTCTTCTTCTTCTTCTTCTTCTTTTTTTTTTTTTTATATGCTGGCATTTATGTTGCCATGACTCTCGACATCCCCGCTTGTTCAACTACTTTCGGGGAACGAATATTAACGACTCCCGATTACGACATGACACGACAACGCCCTTGTTGCTTTGTTTCAATATTTAAAAAAAAATAAAAAAATAAAAAAAATAAAATTTAAAACTCGAAAAAAAGAATTACACAAACAAAAACGACGAAAAAAAAAAAAGTTGTTGGCCTCAGATGGTGCCTGTTCACATGTATATCTTACCAAGCTGCACAGATGCCCCGGCACAACAAACACTCTATAGCGCAACCCCAATATAAATTACCTTTATCATGCGCACTTGATGTCCCTTCAGAATGACGTCGGTAGATTACTCTCTCCTCTTAGATTGATATATGTGCCTTCAATATCTGTAGTGATTCTCTAACACACTTCTCGCCACCCCCTTCAAAGAGGAGCACTTTCAGTTCTATTGCTGCATTCATGTCTTGGACCGTTAAGGACTATCCCCCCCCCCACGACATACCCAAGATACTTCTTTAGTACTATGCCATGAACAGGGTAAATACACCATCTATTCTCCCCCACCAGGCAGTAGTAACTCGAATAGTGGTGAGCATCCAGTTTACAGAAACCGCACCCCCAGCCCTTTTCTTCAACACGACAAGTTCTTCAAGCAAGTTTCCAACATTCATCGTCAAAAGACTCATGCCTTGCAGCACTCCCTTTCCTTGCAAGTCTAAAATGCGAAAATGTGTTGGATTCAATCTAGGGCCGTTAACCCCGGGGGAGCGTGACGAGGGAAAATCAACGGCAGAAATAGCTTATAAGGAGACCGATTCTAAGCTTAAATGATTTTCGGTATAAATATTTTTACGGTCTGTCCTTAGGTTAATTTATTGCGGAATTTTCCTTCTCGAATGGATGGGATACAGAATCACAACTAAGCCCGATTTCCAGCGGACCGCGATATCACGTGCCATCCTTCCAATCTCGACGCGTTCCGTCCAGTCACCGCTTGAAAGAGGAAAAATGGGCTTGGAAACTTCAGCTCGAACTAACTAACTCCAGGACGCAGCTGGTTGCCTGTCAACATCACATTTACAGAGCAGAACCAGCAGACCAAACACCGATTGAACCTCCTCCCCACTTTTTTCCCTATTTCTAATTTCCACGTCTCTCCTTATAAGATTGTGGCTGCTTTGACGAGTTTAATTACCGTCCCGCTTGATACACGGTCTGGCTTAACCTACGTATAAATACATCGAATGACTGCCTCGATCTAATCTACGGACACAACCCAATGAGAAAAGAATTATACATCGATCCATCACCAATTTATGCGCCATCTTCCCCTCCCTTCTCCCTTCGCCAAAATCAACATTTCTCCATTCCTCACCTCACCGCATAACCTCCTACCCCAGTTTGGAACGCACAGCACCGCTCTCTACCCCGGGAACCAAACGCCTAGCTATCGCGGGTGCCTAGTCCCCAACTTGCCATATAGAAGACTAGAAAGACGAGAAAGAAATAGACCTTTTTCGACAGTTGGGTGTGCTGCTGGTAGCTGTCAGTGCCCACGGCAGACTCGAGGGCCTGTTTTGGTTTTGATACCCTGCAGGGCTTATACGTCTTCTAACGGTTCTTTGTCGTTGGTTGGAGGAGTGGACGATATGGCGCAGAGAAACGGTGGTGGTGGTGGTGGTGGGAAACAGGCTACTTTGGGGTACGTTAGAGATCCGCAGTTGAGTATCGGGTGCGTGAGTGTATGCTGTATGCTGTGTGCTATATGCTATAGGGCTGCGGTTTCGTTTAGTGGGATTGGCGTTCGTATATCAAGTGTGGTGTCAGTGGTTCATTTGACAATAGATGGTTGGAGAGATTGATATAAAGTTTGACAATTCGTTAAATATTTTGACTCCTCGCTGACTTTATGTATCTTTTATAGGAAGTTCTTTGCTGCCAATGATGGTTCCGCATCTGTTCCGAAAAAACAATCTACCCTGGCATTTTCATCTGGGACAAGGGACAAAAAGAAACAGGAGAAAACCGCCACAGAAACGAATGATGAAAAGTTAAGTAATGGGGAGAAAGATGTTGAAATGAGTAATGTTGAGGCTGGTGAAGAGTCAAAGGGCGACAGCCCTCCTCCTGCTGCGGGAAAGGAGGAATCGGATGCAAATAGCGGATCTGAGAAGGTACAGAGTAGCAGCAGCGAGAACAGCTCTCCTAGATCCAAGAAGCTAACACGAGATAAAACCCCGGTGGAAGAGGAGAGCGAAGAGTCTGACATTCAGCCGGTTACCAAGAGACGAAAGTGGTCTACACCAGAGAAAAAACGCGCATCTGCAAAGCCCAAGACTGCTGACAGAGAGCCTGTTGCTTCCAAAGCTAAAGGTCAAAATAAATCACCAAAATCCCCGAAGAAAGTGAAGGAACCCGTTGATGAAACCAAGGAATCCTCATCCGCCGGAAAGGACGATGTTGATTCTGTAAATGATGATGAAATAGGAGAAGAGACGCCAGAAGTTGCTCAGAAGGATAGAGAAACAGTGCAGCAGGTATTGAAATCAAGTGGGAAGGATCCCTATCCAGACTGGAAAGCTGGAGAACCAGTTCCATATGCCGCGCTCTGCACCACTTTTTCCCTCATCGAAATGACTACAAAACGGCTGGTTATATTATCCCACTGCTCTCTTTTCCTTCGTCAAGTGCTCCGCCTTACCCCAAATGACCTCCTCCCAACCGTCCAGCTAATGCTAAACAAACTCGCTGCTGATTATGCCGGCATCGAACTCGGAATTGGCGAATCGCTCATCATGAAGGCCATTGGAGAATCTACAGGCCGCAGCCTGGCAGTGATCAAAGCAGACCAGCATGAAATCGGCGATCTTGGACTTGTAGCTGCCAAGAGCCGCTCAAACCAGCCAACCATGTTCAAACCCAAACCATTGACTGTTCGAGGGGTTCATGAAGGTCTTCTTGCAATTGCTAGGACACAAGGCCATGGATCTCAAGACAAGAAGATTTCAGCTATTAAAAAGCTGCTATCGTCTGCGGATGCTGCTGTGGCAGGAAAGGGGTCGAAAGGCATTGACATCACGCACAACAAGGGCGGGCCAAGTGAGGCCAAATTTATCATTCGTTTCCTTGAAGGTAAACTACGTCTGGGTCTTGCTGAAAGGACGGTACTCGTGGCACTCGCTCATGCGATGGTGGCCCACGAGGTTGAGCTGCAAGGGAAAAAAGCACCTGCTACTGAACAACTGGCGAAAGGTGAAGAGATTCTTAAATCTGTGTATAGGTGAGAGCTCAGCTGCATTGTTCTCACATCGAGTCCTTTTGTTAACCAGATTGTTATTCATTTTGTTAGTGAACTTCCTTCATATGAAGTTATTATTCCGGCTATGCTTGAGCACGGAATCTTCAATTTGAAGGATAAATGTAAATTGCAACCTGGAGTGCCGCTGAAACCTATGTTGGCTAAACCAACGAAATCCATCACTGAGGTTCTCGATCGCTTCGAAGGTAAAAACTTTACGTGTGAGTATAAGTATGATGGTGAAAGAGCACAAATACATTATATTAGTCGGGAGGCAATCTCTGAATGTCGTGCGACGGCCTCAACCCTACAGAAAGACGGAGGGGGCGTATGTGCCATTTTCTCTCGCAATTCTGAAGACTTGTCAAAGAAGTACCCGGATATCCTTGGCAAACTAGAGAACTGGGTTAAGAAGGGCACTAAAAGTTTTGTGCTGGACTGCGAAACAGTGGCGTGGGATGTTGTGGGCAAGAAGGTTCTGCCATTTCAGCAGCTTATGACGAGGAAGCGGAAGGATGTCAAAGCGGAAGATGTCAAGGTTAAAGTCTGTGTGTTTGCGTTTGATTTGCTATTTCTGAATGGAGAAGTAAGTTATTTGTGGATTTCTTTTTCTCAAATCGCTGGGCCATCGAGCATTGGTCGATACTGATACACTTTTATATAGCCCACCGTTAAGAAAACCCTTCGAGAACGAAGAAGTCTACTGCATGAGGCGTTTGTACCCGTTGAAGGCGAGTTCGTCTTCGCCCAGCATGGTGATACCAATGATCTCGAGGAAATTCAGACATTGCTCGACGAGAGTGTTAAAGCATCCTGTGAGGGCCTGATGGTGAAGATGCTTGATACTGAAGAAAGCGGATACGAACCCAGCAAACGGAGCCGGAATTGGCTCAAGGTATTTTAAAAATTCTTCTTTTCTAAACCAACCCCATAACACCTCACAGCTTTCTCACATATTTTAAAATGAATAGGTTAAAAAAGACTACCTAGCCGGAATCGGCGATTCTCTCGACCTAGTCGTACTGGGCGCCTATTACGGACGCGGCAAACGCACATCCGTCTACGGCGCTTTCCTCCTCGCCGCCTACAATCCCACCACCCAAAACTACGAAACAATCTGCAACATCGGCACCGGCTTCTCCGAAGCGCTCCTCGAAGAACTATACAGCGCTCTCTCCCCACTCGTCATCGACCGTCCTAAACCTTTCTACGACCACTCCTCCGTCCCCAAGGACCAGCCGGACGTCTGGTTCGAGCCCAAATATGTCTGGGAAGTCAAAGCGGCGGACCTGACGCTTAGTCCGCGCTATAAGGCTGCCGCCGATGAGATTTTGGGCAGCGAGAATGGGGCCGCTAAGGGCATTTCGCTCCGGTTTCCAAGGTATATTAAGAGTCGGGAGGATAAGAAACCTGATGAGGCGACGACGACGAGAACTGTGGCGGATATGTATAGGAAGCAAGAAAGTGTGGCGAATGTTGCGCCTGCAAAAGGGGGGGTGGATGATGATTTTGAGTATTGAGAGTTGGAAGTTGAAGTTGGTTGGCTTGAGGCAGGGCGAAGACTGCGGTACGTGTATAGTTTCATGTTACCATTAGCAGCGTCTCCTACGTTTCCATAGTATATCACGTTGATTTGTTCTGCTGTCATTTCCTCCCTCTATACGTCACGGGCACGTTGTGGTAGAAGATAAAATAGAATTGCTGTATGGAAGATAGAATTGTATCGTGCTATCTATTACGAAAATTTTTTTGAGATTACCGTTCCCCATAGCCTGCGTAACTGGCTTCAGAAATAATACTTCCACTCGAAAATTGGAAGCACCAATTAAAGGAACAACGAAACCAGAAATAAGGAAGCCTAGTATGAAGAACGAGGTATATGATGTATCCGCAGGAAGAAAACCATGCACAAACGCCTCCCGCAATACCAGAAAACACAAGGAATAGTAAAACGCAATACTTAAAAGGTTACATATACAGGTCATTCCAGTTCGTCTCACCTCATTTTCCTCCTGCCCCCATACCATTCATCCCCAACCCTGCCAACCCCCAACCCGGCGCTATACTCCTCTTCCTCCTCTCCTCCTCTCCTCCTCCGCAGCCTTTTGCCTCGCCATATCCCCCTCAGCCTGCCTTCGCTTCCACGCAGCCTTGATAGCCGGCGCAGCACGAATCAAATCCTCCTCACCAACACGGTCCTCAATACTCTCAATGACACTCTCAACAGTCGAAATGTGATTGGCATCCATTTTATCCTCGCGCAGCCGCATGAAGCGCCAACGATGTTCGTCGTCCTTGTAGCACTCAATGATACTGTCATCGAGCGGTTTCTGCATGGCCTTGAGCGCCTCCCATTCCTCCTCGGTGACGTGCATGGTGCCATAGGGTAGGTATTCGTTTGTCTTAAGGGCGACGAAAAGGTAAAAGGTGGGAATAGCGTCGTAGTCCGGGTATGGTTCTCCCGGATTTCCGTCGTCGGATTCGTCCGGCTCTACGAGAGGGAATTGTAGGCGCATGCGGAAATCGACTGTGTTCTCTTGCGGAGGTTTCCATTTAAGGATATGTTCGTCTGTGCCGATTCTGTACGGCGTGCTGCGACAGGTGAAGATGAGACCGTCGTTACCGTGGATTTTCTTCACTTTAGGTATTATCTCACGGAACATCATTTCAAGCCCATAGCTAAATTGTGTAGACTTGTCCTCCACAGCAAAAGCGCGGTGTTGCTTTTCCGACGGGTATTTCTTGTACATGGCATTATATGGTTTGAGGACTTTCTCCTTGAAGTAGGCCAGCCGTTTATCGAGTGTGCGGTGCATAAGACTCGTCCCGTCCAGGACGAGGCAGTCAAAGACGTAAAATTTCAGTTGCGACGAGCCGTCTTCATATGTATCACTAACCAGTTCCCCGTCAATAATCGTATCGACATGGAAACTCTGGAAGGTGTCATCGTCCGGGAGGGGGAAATGCAGGCCGGGGACGTATCTGTAGTCATTCTTGCGGTCGATGAGATAGTGGATTTCAGGCGTATCAGACTCTGGGTCGCCGCGGGCAAAGTATAAAAGACAGCGAATCCCATCCGTCTTCTCGCAGACATAGTAATCTTTCTTTTGTAGTTCGGCGATATGTCGTGCGGCAAAACTGACGGGCTGCGCTCCTGGAAATCCTAGTGAGGAGCGACCCAGTAGATGTGCGACTTCTCTGCGGAATTGGTCTGCCAGCTGCGGCTCGGCTTTTATGCCAACTTTGTCGAGGTCGGGAACAGTTAAGTGGCTCATGGCGCTCGGTTCCCAGGCTGGAGGGAGGAGAGGTGAAAGGGGTTTTTTGGGTGCTTCAATAGGCTGTGGAGGGAGGGCTCTTAACGTAATGATGCGATGTGTTGGAGATGGAGGGTGTACAGAGGGGTGAGCGAGGAGGAGAGTTGCGACAGGAGAAAATATCCGAATCTGCTGAGGATGGAAGAGTAACGGTGCAATAGGTAGGTAAAGGAATCTGGCAGTTTATGTCTCGTAAACGTAGCATTCTCTGGATACTAAATTCATTTTCTGCGAATTGGAGGAGCAGAAGAGGTGAGGTGAGGGTTGGGGCCTGAGGCAACAAAGGAACCAAAGTCTGTTGAACGTTGGTCAAACAGCAAAAAGACTCATTTACCGATCTACGCTATGCTATGTAAAGAAAACAAATCACAATCAACCATATAATATACTCTTTTCGCAATACAATACAATGATAGCGAAACTAAAATGTTATTCCATTCCAGTCCCATATTAATCGATTCCCCTTGGGAGAGTAGGGATATATAGACACAGAGATACGGGACATATGCAGCAAAAACAACTGAACCAAATATACAACATAGAATTAAAACCTGAAATCAAGTGAGAAAAATCAAACTGTATAATGCACAAAACAAGGGGTATCATCTCTCATATCGCCGGAAAATTTCCATCCCATTTCCAGAAACGCCTTGAATAACCCCAATGCACCATCATGTCCTGAATATTATCGAGAAACTCGTCATCGTAGCTATTAAGCGACATCGAAAGCATCATCAAAATATACATCAGTCCGCATGATCAGGTTGCAGTTGCGGTTGCATTTCCAGAGCCTGTAGCAGTACTGGTTGCTGCTGTTGCTGTTGTTGTTGTTGTTGTTGTTGTTGTTGTTGTTGTTGTTGTTGTTGGTGTTGTAGTAGAAGTAGTAGTAGAAGTAGTAGCGGGCTTTTTCGCCGCAGCTGCGGCTGTGACTTGGGAAACTCGATTCTGCGCCGGCTGTTGAGAGATCGAAGGCTTCCTCGAAGTTTCCGCAGATTGCGCAGAAGGGTCGACAGCACTTGTGGGGGACGCTGCGATATTGGTTGAGTCCGAGGTCAACATAGCCCTTCCACCCTGACCCTGATTGGTCACATCGCGTGGTTGGGAAAAAATACCCCCCCTTGCACCACCAAGGACCTGTGAAAGCATTTCCTTCATACGCACTAGGTGGTATTTGCGTCTGGTTGGGATGAGAGGGTGGGTTACTAGCGGTTGATGATTTGATCGAGCCAGGCCCGCCATCACTGCATCTCTCTCCTCGTCTGAGTCGATTGGGCCATTGCCATCTAGATCATCATGGATCGGAGCGTTCGCATCAATTGCGGCCTCTATGACATATAAGTCAGCAACCTGAATTAAAAATAAACTAAAATTAAAATTAAATTAAATGGGGGAGGGGGAAAGGGGAAGCAATGGCAAACACTAGAAGTAAGAACTCACTTTGCTGCCGTGCCTGGTTCTTCTTCTGATATGCCTGAAGCAACATATCATACGGCAACGAGCGGCCAGGGACAGCTCTTTTAGCACCCATGGAATGGCTCTTGCAGGTTAAAGACCGCGCACACTGGCCACCATTGGGCAGGGGGACACCGCATTGCTTCTCCACGTCGACAGGGCCCTTTGGTTTGGCCGCCTTGGGTTTCGGTTCATCTTTCTTCTTCTTTTTCTTTGGTTCCTTGTCCTTCTCATCATCGATGTCAGCCTTGCGTTTTTTCCCTTTCTTCGTCCCATCGTCCCCACCAGCACTTTTCTTCGCACTCTTCTGTCCCTTCACCGCGTCGTCATCATCCATGCCACCAATTCCAGATCTGTCATCGCCTTTATCATCCCCATCTTTCCCTTTATCTTTCCCCAATGCCTTCTCTTTCGCCCTGTTAGCAGCATCCCGAGCTTCTTTCTTCTTCCGTGCTTTCTCTTGTTTTGCTTTCAGGCAGCCTCGTATATGTTCTGCTGCCGTTTGTCGTAGAACTGGTCGTTTACAATGTTTGCATATCACCGTTTCCAATTGAGTTTCTCGCGGTTTGCCATTAGGGAAGGCAGCCACGATTTTATCGTCCATTTCAGGGAGAATGGGCGATGTGGAAGCGCGGGAGTCGGGATCTCCATCTTTGGATTCCGCAAGCGAAAGCAAGAGGAGGAAATGTCAGCTCGGTTCTCATAGAGTAGCTGCTGTCACTGTCCACACGACAAAATGATAGATCTCGTATTAAACGCATAAAACCACACGTTTCCAAATACACATTTTTCTTACCCATTTTCTCTGGTTCCTTTCTCCCAGCAGCAGCAGTCTTCGCGTTTTTCGCTGCAGTCTTCTTCGTAACCTTGAGCTTTCCTAGCCGATTATCCTTATCACTGAACTTGTATCCGGAAGCATCGACAAAACTAGCTCCCGAACTTGAAGCCACGGACGATGCTGTTGTCACCATTGGAGCCAGAAAGAGAGATGGCAGTTATGTATTAGCAACGGTGTTAATTTATTATTGCCATCTACTCCCTTAGCAACAGATGCAGTGGTGGCAGACGAGAACAAGGTTCAAGGATTCGGATGTGTCGGAGAAGGGGATCTCACCTCGGGCTTGAGCACCGTTTGTCACCATTTTGAAGAAAATGGCTGGGCTACCTGTGGGCTCAGAAGATGTTGTTCTTATGGGGATATGACGGGAGTTTATACAGATGGTTTTATGCCGTTGTTTCTGTTCGGCTGAACTTGGCTTTTGAGGAGAGTTTGGCAGATTGGTCACGTGCGCTAGATTACTGATGGCATCGGAAAGTGGAAAAAAGATAATCTGAAATTTACAAAGAGGAATAAAAGATATTTATACATTTAGGCATTTAGCTACATTCCCCGGTAAGAGAAACCACGTTACTGGAAACCCCTTTGAAGGAGTATTAGACAGCATTTGAAATATAATAATACAGATTTTAGGCAGCAGAACACGGATTGTGTCAGGACAAAAGTAAAATCCAAGATATCACCCGCAATGTGACGGAATAGGTAAATCAACCCAATCAAATCAAAAGAGAAGGCAGATCCATATTCGCGCGCAAAAAATAAAATTAAAAAAAATATATATATATGGGAGAGAGAAAAAGGAAAAAACGGTTATAAACCGTTGGGGTATATCCAGAAGTTAAGTATTAGAATATCTAGCAAAGCAAATACTACTATTCGTTCCCCCGAAGCCAAAGCTGTTGGTCAGAACCACATCAACCCGCCTCTCTTGAGCAGCATTGGGCACGTAGTTGCAGTCAAATTCCTCCGTCGTATTATCCAGATTGATCGTAGGAGGCAGTATGTTCTGGCACAAAGGTTAGATTCACTAGTCACAACGCTTCAGGCAGTGACGCATCGCCCGCAAAAATGATGATATACATACCTCATGAATGGCCAGAACAGAAAACACCGCCTCAATCGCCCCAGCACCCCCCAGCAAATGCCCTATAGCGCCCTTAGTGCTGCTGACGTTGATGTCAGCTGCCCTCTCCTTCCCCCCCTGGCCAAGCAGAAGAGATTTAATCGCAAAGTTCTCCGCCGCGTCTCCAATAACCGTCGATGTTCCATGTGCATTGATGTAATCAACCTTGCCAGGAGGGGCTTGAGCGTCCCTCAGCGCCCGTTTCATAGCGGATAAAGCGCCCTCGCCGCTATCCTTCGGTGCCGTCATGTGGTATGCATCTCCGGAGCAGCCGTAGCCCTTGAGTTCAGCATATATATTCGCACCGCGGGATTTCGCATGTTCAAGTGCCTACAAGAGTGGCTGGTTTTAGAGGATCTTTATAGGAGAACGTTAGAACGGCAGGGTACACGTACCTCCAAGACAATAACTGCCGCACCCTCTCCCACAACAAATCCCTCACGGTCTCTGTCGAATGGTCTTGAGGCTTTCTCCGGTGAGTCATTGTATGATGTAGCAAGGCTTCGGCACCTTGAAAACCCCCCGATGACCAACGGGTGTATACATGACTCGGCGCCCCCCGCTATCATTACATCTGCATCTCCGCAAGCAATGAAGCGGGATGCATCACCAATTGAATGGGCGCCAGTTGTGCATGCAGTTGTGGCTGCATGATTTGGTCCCTAGGTTGGATTATCAGCACAAACGTTATGGAGTAGTAATATAGTGAAAACGTACGGAAAATCCATATTTCATCGATATGTGCCCAGCACCTAAGTTAATAAGGAGCTTGGGAACAAAGAGTGGCGAAATCTTTCTGTAGCCCTACTAGAAAGGTTAACGTAAATATATCCTACTGATGGAAATCCGTCGAGGGCCGGGCGGGGCTGTAATATAAAAATCCTTAACATACCCCTCTATCATAAGCTAGGGAGGTATCATATATCTCGTCAAAATTCCCAATCCCAGATCCCAAGCATACACCCTACTAAAAATTAATCATCCAACTCCACTAAGGGGAAGAGCAGGTGTAAGTGCGTCCTCACAGTCATTTCCCTCTCTTCACGAGTGGTAGGCTTCCAGCCTGCATTTTCCAAAGCCTCTTCAACAGCTGCCAGGGCATATTGTGTAAATTTTGCCGTCTTTCTCTCCGCCTATGATCGGCCATAAGTCTCCACGAACGTAAAGTCGAGCTGACAGGATCCGAATATAATGTACATACATCACGGCTCAACCAATCTGAAGCATTCCAACCACCTTCACTTTGGGGCCCTTCGGGGACCAAAGCAGCTATTTGGCATGGTAAATCTTTGTACCTGGGGTCTCTATCTTTTACCGAAACAATGCCACAGTGGCCGTCTAAAAGTCGTTTCCATGTGCGTCGTATACCTAAAGCAGTCAATAAAATATCCAGTGAAGAAACGACATTTAGACTGCAGCTTATAACATATTGGCAGACATCAATGATTCCGCTTCTGGCTCCAACCGATAACAGAGACTAAGACTCAAACTCACCTATCCCAAGAGGAGTGACTGCGCCTAATCCTGTAACCACAACCCTGCGCATGACACCAGTCACACCACTGCTATGATAACATGAGTTGAGTTGGTGCCGGTTCAGAAGAAGACTTGGGAAAAAGCGGTATGGATAATTTAAGTTGAGATGCTAGCTATTCAATTCACCAAGAGCTCTGGACAAGAAAACAACTTAGTAATATATAAATCGTCACCCATAACTATCCCCAAGTCTTTTGCTCTCTCTCTGTGGTCAATGTCAGTGATTACTTTCGCCTTTCCTGTATGATGAAATTCGAAGGTCTCGGCGTGCTGACTCATCACTCAGCATCGTCCCTTGCTGTAGACCACAACCGCACCCCGCAGCCTTAACATGTTAACGTATCTGTGTAAAATCCCGATCCAATGCTGAGATAGTGAAATACTGCTGGGGATGGCTGCCAGCTTAAAAATATTTTCCTCCAGACTATATGGGGGAGTTCCCGTTTCTTAAAAGAAAGAAATGACTCTTCAATAGCATTCAAACTGTCTTCGCCCGACGTATGCCCATTACGGAGACATATCATGACCATGAAAAACAACAGGTTCCAATTGAGCAGAGGGAGGAGCTTCTAAAAAGGTGGGACCAAAAGCTAAATAAGTTGATATTCCCACAAATATATATATTGGCTGTTTCCTTGCTTTTGAAGTGGTTTAAACTAGTAACTAATTTTTCCATGCCAGTGGGGATTTGCCGGTATTTCCACCTTCACCCATCTCCAGCATGTTAGATGTCTCCTTGAGCCTGATGATCCATACGACATAGCCATCCTCGGCACCCCCTTCGATAACGCAGTCTCCTACCGCCCAGGGGCCCGCGCAATCAGGGCTGCAAGTGCCCGTCAGATCCCCGCAAACAGCTACAACATCCATGCCGGCATAAATCAATATCTAAACTGGGCCCGCATTCTCAACTGTGGCGATATCCCCGCCAACCCTTTTGACAATGGCCTCGCAAAGCGGCAGATATACGAAGCCTTCCTGAAACTCGCGACGCGTGACGTTCCAAACCCCATCCGGGGTATTTCGTGAGGAAACCCAAGCTCATCACGCTTGGTGACAGCATCATCCTCCCAGCGCTGCGTGCCTCGTCCAAAATCTACGGAAAACTCATCACAGTTCTTCACTTCGATGCACACCCCGACACCGGGAACCCAATATGGTACTCCGCGTTCTGGACCTCGGACCATTCTCGGTTCAACCACGGCAGCTTCTTCCACACGGCCAGTCTCGAGGGATTGATTTCCAACACCAGCTCTGCACACGCTGGTCTCCGCACGCGCCTGACCGGTCTGGATGATGGTGATTATTCAAACCCGGGACCCGAGCAGGGATTCCTGCGCATCCATGCTGATAATATCGATGATATCGGCGCCCATGGTATAATCGACACGATCATATCGCGCATAGAACTTTCTCCGGACGAACCTGTCTACTTGGAGTCTGGACATTGACGTGCTGGATCCTTCTATCACCCCTGGAACTGGCACGCCGGACCCTTGGGGGGCGGGTTGGAGTACGCGTGAGCTGATTAGGATTCAGTGCGGGATTGAGAAGTTGAATCTTGTTGATGCTGATATTGTGGAAGTCTCACCTATCTATGATAATGTTGCGGAGGGGACTGCGCTTGCGGTTGCGCAGGTTGCGTTTGAAATTATGTCAAGTATGGTTAAGTTGGGGGCTAAGGAGGATGTGGGGTAGAGGGAGAGGGTGGGGGGGTGGGGCTATGGGAAGAAGGGCAACGACGAGAAGAATGAGAAGGATACGACACGGGATGAGCTTTTGATGAGATATTATTGCCTTCTCCCTATCCGTCTTGAAATTTACATCCCAATTTCACCCCCATGTTTGGTCGCTCGAATAGGTCTGTTAACCTTTGTGAGGTAATTATATATCGACTTTAACATATACTCAAAAGAAAGTTCCACAGATGAGCGTATGTAGACAAAATGCAGTTTAAATATTATCTTCACCAGAGAGCACTGCAGGGCTTGCCGGATGTTATCCCCACTCGCTACCCAGCATGATTCAGATCCCCAGCGGCCAACACTCGCATTTATAGATCCTAATAAAATCATACCTTCCACTTTCCCACAGCTCTCACGTAGATACGAAAGACTTTGATCATCTCGGACTCTCCATCGCTGGACACCATGCAACTCCGCTTGTATGGAATTTGTAGGTAGTCAACATTCCTAGTTTGTCGATAAGCAAGAAAGAGAAGAGAAAGAAAGAAAGAGGAGCAAGAGCTAAAATTTTACATCTTGTTCACTTCTCTTATTCCACTGCAGTCTAACATAAACAACCAGAAAGGGGAAAAAACGAGACAAGTCGCAGGAACTCTTCTCTTTATCTGCTACGAGCAAACCGTATAATAACACAATGCGCATGTTGGATCGAAGGGGGCTATGGGTTAGAGGGGGAAAAATGCGAAGACGCAGTTCAGTTAAAACTGAGCAAAATCAATCAGATCAGAACCAGTTCAGATAACTAATAAAATGAACAATTCCAGCATGAAATCGAGGTAGTAAACATTGGCAACAAAACGCAAAGAAAAGCCATGTGCACCGGCGGAAAAGCAACCAAAAAAAAAAAAAAAAACCTTGGACCACAGCATATCAGAGTGGGATAAAATGAAAAACAAAGCAAAGAAAAGGAAGGGGGTTGTGGGGAAAGGGTTAAGACGTGCGCAGCAAGTCAGATAGGATCGATCAGCTTTAACGTTAAAATCGGAAGAGGCAAAAGGGGAGAAAGGACAGGATAGGTTGGTTTAAGCTGACGTGGAAAGGAGTGATGATGGAAAATGGAACAAAAAGAACAGAAACTGAAATAACAATTGACGGAACTTGCGAAACCTTGCTTGGAATAACTGTTTAGGCTCTTTTGTGCATTTTGAATTGCGGCATACTTCTTTTGAAGGGTTGGTGGGATCAGAAATCAGATTTAAAAGATAAAAATATAATCCACGTCGGCCCATTTTCCCTTTCCCCAATCCAAATTTCGGCGTCAAATTCATCCATCAGACCATTGAAACACTTTCTCCCTCGTTGTATGGTGTATATCTGGAAAACTTTTGCGTAATAGAGCCCATGTTTGTACGTACGTTGAGTCCGAATATAGGGTGCGCACGCCCAACCAAACGAAACAGCGAAAATCGGACAAAGCTAGAATTCCACGCTTTGCGTATAGGTCTATTGTATTTTGTATCAAGGGAAGTATTTGGAAACGACTTAAAAGATGACACACTTAGGCTTCTTACTTGGGGCTGGTTCCAGCGCAGCGACGATTGCCTGGATTGGATTGACGGAAAAGAGGGAGGTTAGATATGCTTAGTTCTTATTTCCCTTGCTTCTGTGAAATATATGGTTGCACAGGGAGAAGAAATCCTTTTAACTCACCTCATCGAACACGTCCTTAAGTTTATATTGAGTCAACGCGGAACACTCGACGTATTTGACAGCACCCAGATCCTTTGCCATACGGTCACCGTCCTCTTTTCGCACGGGCTGCATCTTCTGCTTGGCCAGCTTTTCTCGTACGCTGGGGTCGTCGCGCAAGTCGGTTTGGGTGCCCACAATCAGGCAAGGAACGCCTGGACAGTGGTGATGGACCTCAGGAAACCATTTCTCACGGACGTTCTCGAAAGATGCTGGGGATGTAACGGAGAAACAGACGAGAAACACATCAGTTTGAGGGTATGATAGTGGTCGTAGACGGTCATAATCCTCTTGTCCTGCGGTATCGAAGAGTCCCAGGGTATATGGCTCATCTCCGATCCTGTGGTTCAAGAATTGGATTGCCTGGTTAGCGGAGGGCCATAGTGTCACAGATAAAAATCGCTCCATTTTTCTTTGTCTCTTTCTTTTCTGTTCGTTTCTTTTCTTTTCTTTTGATTTTCCGCAGAAATTGACAGGGAAAGCGAGCTCACGACGATGATAGATAGAATAGGAGAAAAAGATGCTGGTGGGTATTTGCCTAGGGACTGGACGTGCTACACGATCCATACACATGGCTGATGTGGTGTGAACATGAATGGGGAAGTCACACAACTTACATCACTGTAACCGCATAGTTATCGAAGACGGTCGGGACATATTCGGAGGGGAACTTGTTGGTGGTGTACGAAATCAATAGACATGTCTTGCCGACAGCACCGTCTCCAACCACAACGCATCTGTTCAATTAATAAGGGGTCAATTAGCAAATTATTTCGTTGCGCGAGGGACTATGATCCGCAACCCGCCAATGTTGATCATTGTCAGCACAGCACCCTTTGGTATAGAGCAACCTACTTGATAGTAGCCACAACCATTTTGGATTCTGGTGGAAGAATAAAGCTCTAAAAAAGGCTATCGCGGATGTAAAACAGGTTAAACAGAATATCCAGCTAGGAAAAGATGTGTGTGATGGGCGATTTCACGGAAGACTGAGAAGGGTCGATGCGGTAGAGAAGCGATGGAATATGGCAAGATTAGATAGAAGTGGGTGAAACAGGTGGCACAGCAATACTCTCGTGGTAGGATGATGGGATGAGAGAGATTTAGATGCGCAAAGAAAAGAGCGGAGGGTTAAAAAGGGCGAGGTAAGCAGATTGAAAGTGCGAGTGGACGAAGACTATTTCTGGGCGGTCAATAGAATACGTTAGCCGTCCAAGCCCCGATTTTGCAAGCAAGAGCAGTTAAGAAAAGCGAGGGAATGTAAACAAGAAGCGCTCTTTTGAGAGGCGATAGAAGACAGGGGAAAACCATACGGGCCTGGATGAGCTAGATTGGGTAGCCCTTGAGAACAGAGGTCGTGACAAGATGAATAAGAGATAGCCAGGTGGGGAGCAGCAGCACGACGCGCGAACAAGGACGGGGCACGAGGACTGGCTTGGGGCGGGGGTGAGCAAGCACAGAAATCGACGAAGCACGAACTGACCGGAGAGGAGAGGAGTATTGGTGTAGGAAGTGTAAATGGGAAGTAGCTAGAGAGATTTAAATGGGCAGAGAAGAGGGGTGAGGAGAGGAGAGGTTGAGGTTGAGGTTGAGGTTGAGGTTGAGGTTGAGGTCAACGTTCGAGTGTAGCAGCAATGGCGGCAGAGTGGGCCCAACCACAATGGGAACAGGCAGGACATGGACCGCGACACCAGCCAGAGAACAATTAAATCATGAACAACACAGAGATGGTTGATGGGGAATATAGAGATGGGTGTTGATGATAGTCCAGTAATGTCCAGTTTACCAGTTCACAATTATTTAACCATTGTTTTTCAGTGGGCGGTGATATTACCTTTAATGAGAAATTTTATGGGGAGGTGACCTTGCAGGTACCGCGCCGAGCCTAGATTTCTGGCGGCGTGATAAAGTACCGGGAGGTAAATAGAGCGCACATTCTCGAGCCAAGTCTGAGGGTATTCAATAAACTCCGGCCATCACCCCCGATTAAACCACATCATATCCAGCGTTTATTTTATTCGGGACCGATGATGTATTACTTATCCTCAATCACTAGTTAATAAATACGCTCTGCTAAAAGTGCGAGCACGGAAAACATATAAATGAGCCTTGAAATTGCTTCGATATCCTCTCTTCTTCTCTTCTAACTACTTCTACGCAGCGTTTGACCTTCAATCAAGCCCTTGCGGGGATAACTATATAATAACCAGCTCTGATGTTAATTTCCGGTACATTTCCTAGAACACAAACCAACGTATATAACTCTTCCCTGCAGACCATGAAATGCATTACTTTCCCTCTCGATCGCTCAATCATCCTTCGCGCATTTTGGACTAACTAGACGATGCACGGGACTCCTGCTGGTGCTTAGCTTTTCTCTGCTTTCTCCGATTCGCTGGCGCGGATAAGGGGGATTTTAAGATTTAACCTGCTTCTACGCTCCAGGATTAACGTCTTTCGGAAGATGGGCAATATTCATTATATAGTTATATAGTTTGCCTTACAAAGTATCTGATCTGATGTCTCTATATGGGACATCACTCCTTCGGGAATGTCAAGGCAACGCTCCAAGCTTGTAATGTGAACCGGTAGTTTCCTACAGGGTAAAGAGTCTTAAGAGACAGGCAAAGGAGTGTAATTCTCCGGTTAAACTGATTGAATATCCTACCTCTCTGACAAAACAAAACCGCCATCATTAGGTTGCAGTTGTTGCGTCCAACAGACTCCTTTCAGTCGAACGACGTTCTCCAGCTCTTGATTGCTAACTATGTCTACCTATCGTCTGGCCAGCCTTTCTATCATCCAGCCTGGGGATAATAATGTATAGTTGTCAGCTTGATCATTCCAAACACCAGCCAGCAGTCCTCTAACCCTAACCATCTCAAGAAAAACTCCCTTCACTCTTGAAACGCTTGCCCGCTTTGTAGGCACTATTTAGATGAAACGGGAGTTGTGACACCAATACTCTGTGCAGCCAGGGTCGATTCTAAAAAAAAGAACTTCCTCCATATCTTGGTTGGGTGGGATCGACTCTCCTTCACGCCTTGAAACAGCCACCATCCCGCCACCCCACACCCTGAACACTTCCGTCCGGGAATCGGCAGGGATGTTAGAAAAACTTAAACTAAAATACCACATGGCAAGAAAAGAAAAGAAAAGAAAGATTAGAAGTCAGGAAAAAGGAGAGGGAAGAGGGCGGTTAGCACATTCGATGGTTTATGCTGCAACAAATCTGGAAAACATAGCTACATGTCAGGTAGTTATGTCTATTCCGTGTGAATTGTGTTTAATATAGGAAGTTAATAGGTAGGTAGCATTTGCATTGGGCGAGTGATTATTCCGCGGCATCTCTTCATTCTATATTACCAGTTTCTTATAGAAGATCGAACCGTGTAAGAGAGGTGGTTAGACGGAGCAAACGAAGGACAAGGCGCAACATTGCATTTCTCTCGACTCCTGCCCCACCCGTTGACCCACTGCGTCGCTTACCCCTCAGACTTCAGTGCGGCTGGGACGAAGGATTCCTTGAAATAGAAATGAAGAGCTAACAACGGCTCACTCTTTTGTATAAATATAGATAACTAAGTATGCTGCTCTAGGATCAATATGTATGCATGTTTCCTTCCATCTCCACTCTGCTTCTTTTGCTGATCCCTGTTTCGCCTCGAGGACTACTTACCTCAGACTGGCGGGATTTCTTGAGCATATATTGGCATCCCTGCGGATACTATGCGCCTGTAGAATCTGAATTCACAATGCTTAGCTGAGTGATGGGGCAAGGGTGTACTGGGCAGTAAGTTAAATAGGGACGATATGGTTATTTATTTGGATTGAGTCTCATGCATCTCCGTAACATTGCATCCAACTCCAGTCTTTCGAAGACAAAAAAGAACAACCAATGCCACCATGCACCGTGGTGTTCTTACCTGCCCATCCCTGAGGAATATGACTGTGAGGTAACGATTATCTTTTATAGCATGACATAGATATTTTTATCCCCTCATATGTGGTTTCTCTGAGCTAAGAAGCACAGCATGTTTAATATAGAACGAGGTGGGAAGAAGACATTAGCAAGAAATTAAGGAACAATCTGGAATAACTAGTTATGCGGGCATACGTGGCCAATAATGCCGAAGTAGTTAAACAGATTCATCATTTTTTTTTTCTTTTCTCTTTTCTTTTCTTTTCTTTTTGTTGGTCGGGGATTGAGATATTAGCGAATACTTGGGAATCAGAAAAAGGGTTAGAAGTATGGATTTTAGCCATGTGGAAGGTTAACCGTAGAGTTTTTCTTTTTAATATCTGAGAATAGAAATGTCTTTCATTAACGAGTTAGTTAAAGGTTTTGACATTACACCATATCGTAATTCATAAATCAGCATTAATGGTTTCAAGAGAAAAAAATCAGACGAAGAGAGAGGAAGGAGGAAGCAAACAGCAAATATACACGAGAGTCTAAAGGCTGAACAGCCCAAATCAAATGATAGAAAAATTAAAAATTAAATGAAGAGAAATAGCATTAAACATTAGAAATAAAGCACAAAGTTAATACCCTTTTTATACATCACTTAGCAGCAACAAGATCATATAGAGCCAATAGCATCCTCCGCACTATTCTTTGTCCTCTTATACTCAAGTGTAGCCAAGCACGTAATAACCACGATGTCCAGAAACCCATACAACTCCGGTACCAGAAGCGCAATCACATCGTTCTCCTTAGACAGCATCGATGACTTCTTCTCATACCTGGCAACAGTCCGCTTACCCCCATCCACCAATTTCAGATTGCTGCTTACAAGACTTCCCAACGCACCCCGATCTCTCTTCCACTCCAACGTACCAAGCGGCGTCAGGCTCTCAAACCTGCGCGCACTAGAGAACGCATCCGGGCATTTCATAACAATGGCCTGATTAGTGCTGAAACTAATATCAATCTTTGACGAGAAAGTGTGGAAGTTGACAGTCGCAACGACATGGTCGTTGTTAATCTGGCTTCCCGGTTGCTGGTGATTTTCGGAATGCCCCAAGAGACCGGATAGAGAGAATTGCCTGGATAATCTTGACATGAAAGATGCCGGAAGGTTGTAGGGGGTTGGCTGGAGATGGCGGATTAGTATTACTTCTGGATGAGAGCTGGAGGTTTGGACGGTGTAGAGACAGGAGAGCTCGTCCGGGGTGGTGATTTTGTAACCGCGGTGAGTCCAGCTCTGATCTTTGATGAGATACACGCGGCGAAGAGGTGCCTGCGTGTAAGCCATGTTGTTATTCATGGCCTGCATGTGGGGTGCAGAAATGAGGAGGTGATTTGCGGACGCGATGGTGGCCGTTGTTTTGTTCACTTTTTGAATGGGGTATAGGGAGAAGCTATAGACTATGAAATGGCTTGTAAAGAAAATGCTTTTAGGACGGACAGACAAGTCTCATTTACGGTAAAGATGTGTATATGGCTGAGATTTATCGGAGGAGTGGTATCCCGAGTCGAAAAAGATGATTGCGAAATATATATATACTATATATATGTCAGTCCATGATGCTCGAGGAAGCATCGCCATCGTTCCATATCTGTATTTTGACATCTATAACTAATCCAAAACCAAATACTCAAGCTATTTTGCTTCGATTGTCGCCATAACAGCGGGATACGCGTATTTGGCCACTTTGGGCCAAAAGAGCCGTTTAATCTTGTCCCCATCGGTGAGCTGGGTTAGTGCACCAGCCACCGTCTACAGCATGAATGCTGCAGGTATTCTGAGCTGGGATGGGCAGACCCCAAAAGACAGCGTATCATAGTTGACTGTGGGAATTAGTCTCAATCCAACGGCGGTACTCCGTTGAGAAGTTTGGAAGACTTGCTCTGTCTGACCAACAACAGGCTCCGATCAGACTTGGGGACCAGGGGCAGACGCTTAATGTAGTTATTCTTTAACTTGTTAACTAAGTTATTTAGCAACCCTTAACTCAAAATTATCATCTCAAAAACTTGGACAACCAACTCACTATGGGTAATCTGTCGTGCATCATTGCATGTAAACTTACTGACATGTAGTAGTTAGTGTTGATAGAAGCATCGCCCCATTTTCCGAACCACATTTCTTTTCTAAGATTGTCGAGTCAAAATGGCTAGAATTGTCCCAAATACATGGTTTATGATTCATCTTTGCATACAAGTGGGGAGGCAACGGATTATTTATTTAGCTCTCGTCTCATCCAATAACATGCGATTAAGCATCCCACCTTTTCAAGGTTGTGTGCTCCTACATTTAAATGCCCAGATTCAGCCGAAAAGCACCGCCGTCAGAGAACTCCGATGGACGGACTACACAGTTGTGCTGAATATGGATAATTCCTTGTCCCAGTTGAAGTCAAAATTATCCAGTCTAAAAGACAATAACTATGTCTGTTCAACTTTTGAAATAACAATATAGGGTGATATTCATGCATCTCATGAAGCCATGCTTCTTGATCCCGCGCTCGTCTTCTGGAAATTCAGTTGGTTATCGATTAATTTTAACAATTGTGTTTTCCTGCATCTCAATTCTGCTGAGCTTATAATACGATATTTAGTTATTCGCGATGGCCGAGTTCACAGGACTGTCCTGGTTCAATAACGTTGAATGGCATTTAATCGCCATTGCCATGTCGCTAATCATAATTCAGAATATCTGTCGTTCAACATATCGCACCATCAAGTCTCCCTTTCCAGGGCCCAAACTAGCCAAGTTCACTAAATGGTGGCTTCCGCTGCATGAATTGCGAGGTGCGCGTTGGATCATCTATGCTATGGTTTCCTTCCGCTCTTAACAGACCAGCTTGCTAACAAACAAACAGATGGGATTCTGAACACGACCCATCATGCCCATCAAAACTACGGTCCAATCGTGCAATTGGGTCCGAAAATGATTTCCTTCTGTCATCCGGATGCTCTACGGGATATCTACACAGGACCCCGTGGAGGCCTTGATACCTTTGACCTTGTTTGGTTTTTTGAGCAGTATGGCTCGCAAAACCTAGTCAGCACCATTGACCCAGAATTGCATCTAATGCGCAGGAAAACTGTGACGGGTCTTTATACGAATACCGTTGTATCATCGCCAGCTGTCCAGGCCCTGATGAAAACGGTTATCAATACGTTCATGGATGAAATTGAAATGGAAGCAACAGCGGCAGCGGGGGAACTGCCCTCGCGAACTGTCGATGTATTTCCCCTCATCAGATGGCTTACTGCAGATATTATGACCGGTTTGATATACGGACCTGGGCAACCTCTCAATTTGCTGAAAAACGCAGACTCAAGGACTGAGATGGTTGAACTTCTCACCTCAAGTACAGACCAGGTAGCCAGCCCATTCGCGATTATTTTGCAATTATTTCCGCGTACGTATGATTATCCTACAAAATTCCTCACGGGATATAAGACGCATTTTGTGCTGATAGATAACACCAGTCTCCATATTGAAACTACTATCACCATTAATTAACCCAGGGACGAAAATGGCCGCTTACGGCATGTCCAGGGTCAAGGAATCTCTCAGACTCCGTTCCCAATCATCAAACGACGATCAAGGGGTGACCCATGATAAGAACGAAATCAAAACACATCTCCATCATCTTCTTCACCTCTTCAAAAAGAACGGCCCTAGCCCTGCTCTCCCGAACGTGAACTATATAGCCAGCGATAGCTTAGATCACTTCTTCGCAGGTGAGATATATGTCCCTCGCCTCCCCATCCCAAAGCAACCCATTCCGCTCTAACAGAAACCAGGCACCTCTACAACCGCCGACTTTCTCTCCGCGCTAATCTACCACCTCTCCCTCCCCGAAAACAAACGCCACCAAGACAACCTGCGCGACGAACTACGTTCTATCAGCTCAAAAGACCCAACAGCATCTTTGGAAGATATAAACTTATCAGACCTGCGAAGCCTGCCCTTCCTAACAAGTGTTTTACAGGAAACATTCCGAACCAACCCGCCCATACCATTCAGTCTCCTGCGGGTAGTTAAAGCCAAGAATCCCGATATCACCGTACTGGGCATGAAGATAGAGCCTGGAGTGAGTTTTCAAGAATATATACTACCAGCCACCTCCCCTCCTATCCCCCCTTTTATAGATTACAAAAACACCTAAAAAAAGGATCTATGTACATAGACCACCATCTCCATCCAACCATACACCCTCCACCGCGACCCGGAGATATTTCCCAATCCAGACGTCTGGGACCCGGAGCGCTGGCGTTCTTGTATTACCACAACCACAACCACAGCCTCAGCCACGACGTCCACTTCCACATCCACCTCCCGAAAGCACCGCCAGATGCAACGCATGCTCATGCCGTTCGGATACGGGGCGCGAACTTGTACGGGGATTAAGTACGTAACTTCACAAGTGAACACAATACAAGACAATACAGTGCATTTCATTGCGTTGCTTTGCGACGCAGGGTAACATCTGCCTCTACATACACATATCCCTCTTCCATTGTGTGAAAATAGGATGAATAGTGCTTATAATTCATGTTTCGCTAACTTGAATATTGACGGAATTCGAATAGTCTTGCGTGGGCGATTATTCGTCTGGTGACGGCGAGGATGTATAGTACTTATAAGACGTCGTTGGATGAAGAGGTATGGTTTGAGGATGGGAGGAAGGGGGAAGTGAGGAAGAAAAAGAATTCGTATCCGGATGAGGGTGTGCAGCCGGTTGTGCTTAGGAGGATTTGAGAGTTTGAGAGGGGTGGGGAAGCGGGGAATGGGTTGCACAAGGATAGGGGCTTCTAGATGACTCTGATAATTGTAATTTTGTCGATATTTCCTCTCAACTTGAAATGCCCTCTCAACTAAGTAATTATTGGTAAATATGCAAGAAGAATTGGATATGTTGGTATTTCAAATTCGTGTGCATGGCTTTCCATTATCCATTTTCCATGCCTTGTCACCACTCTATTTTCCTTATTACATACATTCTCAGCCAGAGGCGCACAAAATAAAAAATAAAAAAAATAAATAAAAAATAAAAAAAATTGCCACATATTCATTTATCTCTAGATTTATTAAAAAATACATAGATTCATATCGTAAATGGCATATATAGATCATTGACCGTAAAAGTGAGAGGTGTATGTGATATGCTCGTACACCACAAAAAGGGCTCAAAAAATAGTGGGGAAAGGACCAAGAAACCATTGTATATACACCGCGATGTCCAAGGGGAAGCTGCATCATTCTATATATTCATATATCCATTCACGCAAAATGCCTCCGAAACCGCGAGCTGCGATCGGGACTTTCGTCATGGGAGGGACGGGAAATCAGGCCCTCACCTTCACCATCGCCTATGCTTTCGACCTTTGGGCGAGTGTCCATCTACATATTATTCATTCACTTTGTTAGAATCGAAACAATTTACATTCAACAAACAGGGCGCGAACATTTCCCTTCCAAAAGAAAGAGATTTAACATACCTTATCCAATCTATAATTCGTCATAAGCAGACTAAGAGGAATTATCGGAATCGCCATGCAAAGCGCAATCACCAGAAGCCTATGAAATGTCTCATCATACGCACGATTGATAGCGACCCGCGTCGCAGAGCCAAGCGGGTACGAAAGGGCCTTGGTAAGTTTACCGAAGATTTCCTCTGCATCTCCTCGACTCTCCTCGGGGAGGTACAGGGCGAGCTTCTTGGGGATGGAACTAGTCCATACAGCGCCCGAGATAGCCGAACCCACCGCGCCACCCATCTCAAGACACGTGAGGAACATGGCAGTTGCAGCGGCGACTTCTTGGTGTTTTGCGGATGCTTGGACGCCCAGTTGGACGGGGACGTTAAGGAAGCCAGCACCCAGGCCTATGATTGTTTGGATGGCGAAGGTGGAGGGGACGGATGCTCCTTGCTTGTTGCAGAAGAACATGAGGAAGAGGCCGAAGATGTAGATGCAGCAGCCGCTGGTTACGAAGATGCGGTAGCGTCTTGTTGCTTTGATGACGAAGGAGATGGATACAGCGGCGATTGTTGAGGTGAAGGAGAAGGTTTGCGTTACTCGGCCGGCGGTGGTGACGGATTGGTCTTGGACGACTTGGAGGTATGAGTAGAGGTATGGTTGGACGGAGCTGTAGAATGCCACTACGCCAGGGGTTAGAGGAAGTATCCAAAAGATAAAGGAGGATTGGACAACTCACTGAAATAGAAGAATGCAAGGGCACAGCCGGCGAGGGCCGTTCTCTGCTTGAGGAGATGAAGAGAGAGGAGTGGATGAGGCGCCACCCGCTTTGAAGATTCCCACAGAGGAAACACCAGAAGACAGACACCACCGACGACGACCATGGAAATGATACTGCTGTTTTTCCACTTGTTCTTCGCATTTGCCGCCAGCGTTATGGGGATCAAAATCAGAGCCAGTCCCGCGGATAGAAGCAGAAGGCCAAATACGTCCAGGTCGTACCAAGTCTTTCTGACTATACTAGTGAAGCTCCGTCCTTTCCAAGGCTTTGGCTTGAGGAGGTTTAACTGTTTGGCCTTTCTCTGGTTTACAAACAGAGCCAACCCTAGCGGAAGAAATGCTACGGGTAGGATGATTGTCCAGATCCCATATCCCCAACGCCAGCTAGTTTCCCTGAGTATAGCAGCGGCAATCATTGGGCCAATCCACACAGTGACCAAGAAAGGTAAATCGGGAAGGCTGGAGAAAAGGGCTCGGTTGAGTAAAGAACTTGTGTCCGCAATGAAGACTTGTTGGAGAATTTGCAGTCCTGTTGAACCGGCGGAATAAAATATCTGTGCGGATGCGTACGTCTGCACATCACTCGAAGCTGCCATTTGGACATATCCCAGGACGTAAATAGAGACAGCTATGCAAAACGCTTCGAATCGACCGAAAACATCGGCGACCTTGGCCATTGGGGGTTTCACAACGGCTATTGCGGTTTGTTAGCTTCGTGTATATTTGATTGAGTAAGGCTGGTAGTGGAGGAATCATTTACCGTTCACCACATTCTGGACAACCATTACCGTCGATATCAACGAATGTTTGCTAAACGAGCTGGTTGCATAGGCAGATAAGGACAGAACCGTCTGGCCTTCTAGAGAGGTTGAAAATGCCATCAAGAATATTCTAGGTTACATTAGCCAGACCTCGTATGGGACAGGGGATATATTAAAATAATAAAAAATAAAAATTGCAGCACCACATACCCAGTATAAGCAACCATTAACGACTTCTTCGTCCACGTTTTGCTAATAGCCTCTATTTTCCGTACACCCTCTTGCATGGAATCCGAAGACGCGGAAGTGTATCCACTCCCTCGTATGGGATCTCGACCATCGATATTGGCATTACTATCATTCTCGTCATCGTAACAATCCGTTGACGTTGCCCTTGGCTCTATGTACAGCAGCCCGGCATCCTCACCTCTGTCCTCCATTTGAGGTCCGGATTCGCATGTGCCGTAAGACCTGACAGAGGTCGTTTGCCGGACCATAGCGGGGAAGATCGGACCGGGTGGCGAGGCAAAAGAGGAGGGTCAGGTTATCGTAACGGAGGAAGAAGGATGGAGGTTCGTTCGTCGGTTTGTTCATCAAGGATCAACCATTTCAAAAACTCCGTTTTGGGCGTGCAGGTTGCAAAGATAGGATGAGAAAGGACAAGTATTGGCAGGTCAATATCAGAAATGCGGTTTGTGAGCGAAGGATTTGTGTAGATGGGAGCCAGAGCAAGATGCCTTTTTATGTATCCGGTTCCGATGTTTTGGGTAGTATGTATAGGGGCAATGTATAATGATAATATAAATCGGAGAGAATGAACGAGATAGAGCAAAAAACGAGAGAGAAAAACACACAAAGTAGATATGCAAAATTGAGGTATCCAATCCCAACAAACCAGCAAAAGGGTTTTAACGAGCTGGTTCTGACGACAAGACCAGCCGTGACTCCGTGACTCCGATGGTTAACGGAGTAACTTACCTCTCTGGTGGGGCGTGATCTTAAGTAAGGGTAACAATGAATAACTAGTTAACTATACGTAGCACGCTGGCCAGCAGCCTAAGAGAGAACGGAGACCAAAGGGGAGCAGGAGAACACAGACTGAAATTTGAGATGCAGTTGGATGTGCCGTTGGCCAAAGGGAGATCGGTCTGAAAAAGGGTGTTGAAGATGAAGATGCTGTTGGCTGCTATTAACTAATCAAGTTGGTTAAAATCGTAAAGCGGACGCCAGACGATCTGATATGATAAGATTCCGTGGGGCAACTAACTAGGTAGTTAACTAGTTAGTTAATTAATGTAAGCCTCTTAGGTAAGCCTCCGAGACACCCACGCCAAGCCTAATCGGGGAGGCGGTATGGGCATTCCATCGACGTGATTGGTTATTATTGGCTAGAGGCGGGTCAAGGACCTTAGTTGAAAAGGGGCTATTCTGTATCCGGTTTAGATCTCGCTTATCTGGGGCTAGTGGCTGGCCGTTTTGCACATTCTGCAACTGGCTCTGCACGCCCGGCACGAGTCGGATCAGATAACCCTCGCCATGCGATTCCAGGGCTCGATCTGATAAAGCGGAGCTACGGAGTAGTAAGCAACAACTTAAAGCTCACTAGTTAGTTATTTAAAAGCGACAGTGATAAAACGGCTTCCCTGTCTTCGATGAAAAATGATTGCTGCCCCTCCATCCATCCGGATTTGGAGAAGGTATCCACTTCCCCCATGATTGGTTCTGAGTAGCCTGGAGAATGTCAATTCTCAGCTGACAGCCCACATGCGTACGTCATCCATTACCCCGTACCGTTGAGGGGAGGAGCTCAGCCCGGTATAAGTTATAAGTTACAAACCGACAAAAGACCTTGTCTCGCAAGCAGTCTCTTTTAAATCATCCAATGTAGGAGCCAGCTTTGGTTGGCCATGTCATTGTGGGCTTCGGTGGATCCCAAGGCAATCCTTATTAGAGGCGGAGTTTGCGAGATTCTGCAGCGGGACTCGTCAATCAAAATAATTCTCTGAGAAGGGGAATATTATACTCCATCTCTACCAGAAACCTGCGGTCTCTTCCCGAGAGGGTAGTTTTGAACTTTGGCATGTTTCTTTCAGGAGCTGTGTACGGAAGGGTATAAGGAAATGGCTTCCTCTATGTTCGACTTGTTTAAGGAATTAACTATTCAAACGTCAACATCAAGTCTTCAGTCAGATTTGGAATTTGAGCGATGGAGTCCTATCCAACGCAACTTGGTAGATTACTGAGAGCCTACTCAATCAGACAAAACTTATTATCTGCGGCATCTGTACGCAGTTTGGCACCAGAAGACCTCTAGAGGGTTTGTCAAACGGAGTTTTGACTTTCATCACCGGGACTTGACACGATATCAGTGTGCAGGGAGTAGTGTGCAATGGAAGACCATAACCAAAAATTACCTAGGTATGGAGAGCATGCTCTGTCCCTTGTCCTTTTAATGTGTCATGACGCTTCAAGATATATCTGCCGTGAAACAGGACTGTTTCCTTGAACTAAGTCGAGATTCCCCGTTCGAAACTTCACCTTAGACGCATCGCCGTGCAGCCTCCTCTATTGACGACACTACATGCCTAACCGGGCATAACTATGGGGTTTTGTCAGAAGTGCAAAAAGCAATCCCAGCATTAAGATTACCCCCGATATTCCATGTCCCATAAACCCAAACAAAACCAATCCCATACATTGGAAGAAAACTGCAACCAAACATCCTCCCATTGTACTACTCCTATCCGGAAAGCTCAATCTCCCACTCCCTAAACTCAACCACAAGCTCCCCCCCCCCCCATCCACCAAGTAAATCCACAACAACACATCCTTCTCCCTAACCACCTCAATCCTCACATCCCCCCTCCCCTCTTCCGGCATAGGAAACAAACTCCAGTCTGACCACGCATCCTTCCCCACAGTTCTCACATACGGTTTGCCATGGACAAACTCGATTCCAGTCTTGATCCACTTCCTGGTCCCGTCGGGACGGGTTGTGGCGAGGATCAAGCCGCCCTGGTCGTAGAGGGTGGTCCAGGCGGCGCTGATGTGGACGCTGGCTCATTGGAAGGAAGAGGACGGGGCTGTTTTGTAGAGGATGAGGCTGTTGAATGGGGGGGCTTTAATGGTGAAGCGTGTTTGTAGCTGAGTTGGGAGAGGGGAGGGGTCGGGTTGAGGATGTGAATTTGAAGTCGGACATTGGGTTTTTGTTATATATTCTTTGGAATGTGAATGTTGCTTCGTGGTTGGAAAAAGGATGGGGGTGAAATGCGTTTACTTTGAAACATTCATATATATGCTTTGGATGGGAAAGTCGATTGATTAATAGGCGTCCAAAAATGGCTTTCCCGCAATAAATATGAAGTCCTTCTACTATTCTGTTTTCGTATGTCTCTTCATTTCGCACCAAGTATGACGCAGCAAGGTGGGGTGGTTAACCGAAAGCTCCCCTGAATCGGAATCCTGTAAGCTCAAATCTTGAGATAGGCTAATATCAGCCTTACCCGAGGACAAAACAAGAAATTAGCGGTTTAACTGATATTGTTATAAATCGAGACGTTTTCGACCAAGTAAAATGCAAAATCAGGCTCAACCTCCTGCCAAATACTGTGACATGAGAGGGAGATACGAACACGAGTTACGAGATACGATTGGAGAGATTTAACTGTGTAGAGCGCAGTCGGCTTGAACTTAACAAGTTTACTGTTTATCGACGGCAAAACGTCTTGAAATGACATCGCTTTACACTCGATATGTCAAGTGGTTGCATTAAATTGGGTTTTCAATTCTTTTCTTCTTCTTTCCTCAGGGAGAGATCATGCCAGCTGGCTTGGATGCAACTAGATGGAGGTGGAGGGCTGCTCGTCAGACAGCTAATCATTGTAAACTCACCAACATCATAACTAGACATTTATCACGAATGCTCTAATCGCGGGGCACGAGGAGAAGAACTGCATCTGGTGGAATACTTTTTCATGAAGCAGAGGGCCAATCGCTTGCATCATCCATTCTCCAGCTTCCATGTGCCTCTCCAACTGCAGCTACCTCCTCCAGCAGCTCTATTTAAGCTACGCGGGTTTCAAGGATCGTCCGACAGATATTTCTCACATCCATTGAAAGACGTGGTGAATCCAGAAGAAGTCGTTAAAATGCGAGAGAACATTAACCGTAGCTCCCGTACCAGATTTGGAACGTACTAAGTGGCTGCTAGGTTCTTCCATACAAATCACTCACTCCATCTTCCTGTTCTGCAAGGCATTCACAGCCCGCACGCATTTGTTCTTGATCCGTTCCCATGTCTTAAGGATGAGCCGTAATGTGAAATTTTGAAATCCAGGATTCGATGTTAACGGATCTCACTTTGCGATTCTGAAGATATGCAAACATCATTGTTCATCCTTTGGCACGTCTGCAGATTCCGCGCTAACTAGCCACAGTATGGCAAAAGGGGGATTTTTCATCCTTTGCGCATTTGTAAAGAATGTCAAGCTCACATTGGTTCTTGCAGATCCATTATGAAGGCTGGATTTATGATCTGAGATAATGAAGTTATAAGTAATGTTGGCTTTAGAGCTCTCTTGTAAAATCCAGATAACTTGACATTAAACTAGTTAGAGCCGGCTGACTCAGCGCTGGCCAACCAGCCCAAAATGATGCTGCTGACCCTGAGTCGGAATCTGTAAGGTCTGTCAGACCTCATCACCGCCACCACCAAGCTATCATTCCCTCCCAATTTACTGGCGTCAAAACAGGCACGGGTTCGCGGCACTACCTCGGGACCGCACGCGGGCTTACTCTCTCCCGTAACGGGAGTAGCGCGGAGTTCTCCGTAGGCAAAGCCATACGATGCGGACAGGGTAGACCCCGCCCATGTTATCCTGCGGGTCCGCGACATGTCTCCCCGACTCCTGCATCCCGATGAGTATGAACTCGTTAGTCGCTCGTCCCTTGATTCGAGAGATAGCTTCGATCTCGACGCCGCAGACTTCGAGTCGCATCCTACAACCAGCCGAAGCTATCTGCATACCCCCCTCTCGCTGGTATCGCGACTGCTCTCCTTCCTCCCTTTCGTCAGACGACATCCTCCACGCGGCCGCACAAGGGAGGCTGCCTGGAAACAGAGGAATCACTCTGGGTTTCGCTGCCGCCTCTTTCCCCGCAGACTCTGTTTCATTTTATTTTCATTATCTGGACTAATACTCGTCCTCGCGTTGCTTACCGCCCTACTCCGTCCGTCTTACACGTCCCCTCCTGCACATTACGATACTCTCCGGCAAGCCGCTCTAAACACAAAAAGTCCAGGCGCCGGGAATCCACGGAATGAAAAGGTGTTCGTTGCTGCTAGTCTATACGATCGAGAAGGCGAGCTTGCACGGGGCAGGTGGGGGGAAAACGTTCTTCAGCTTATCAGATTACTAGGAAAGGATAATGTATTCTTAAGTATATACGAGAATGACAGTGGTCCCGAGGGTGAAGCTGCACTGAATGAGTTGGAGGGGAAAGTTGAATGCAAGAAGTCTATAGTGTACGAGGAGCACATGGACCTGAAATCTTTGCCTCACATCCGCCTTGTAGATGGTTCAAAACGCATAAAGCGGGTTGCATACCTAGCTGAGGTTCGAAACCGTGCACTCCTCCCACTCGAAGACCCCGCAAACGGTCGGTTCGATAAACTGCTATACCTCAACGACATCGTTTTCGATCCCATCGACGCTCTTCAGCTGCTATTCTCTACTAATGCGGACAAGGACGGTAAGGCGCGATACCGTGCCGCTTGTGCCGTAGATTTCATTAACCCATTCAAGTTTTACGATACCTTTGCAACGAGGGATCTGGAAGGATATTCGATGGGAGTGCCTTTCTACCCATGGTTTTCTAGCGCAGGCAAGGCTGAGAGCCGGCATGACGTTCTCGATCAAAAGGACGCCGTTCGAGTTAGAAGCTGCTGGGGAGGTATGGTTGCATTTGATGGAAAGTTCTTCCAACGAAGGGAGGCCCCGGAAAAAGAGCAAGGGGAGAGAAAGAATAAACACAAGTTTGACAGACGGTCTCCAACCTCCCTAGTTACGCGCCGCTCTTCAGTTATGAAATTCCGCGCTGAGCCCGACACCTACTGGGATGCTTCGGAATGCTGTCTCATCCATGCTGACATCCAAAGGCCACCATACGAATTCAAGGATGGCGAACCTGTTGATACGGAGATCTATATGAATCCCTACGTTCGAGTTGCATACGACACAAGGACTCTGTCGTGGCTTGGCGTCACTAAAAGATTCGAAAGGCTGTATTCCATAGCCAACGCTGTAATAAATACCGTGGCTGGCATGCCCAAATTCAATCCGCGACGGGCAGAGATAGCCGGGGAGGAAGTGGAAGAAAAGGTCTGGGTTCTCAAAGGTGCTGATGGTGAGGGTTCTTATGAAATGATTAAACGGAAAGCGGGAACTGGGGGTTTCTGTGGTCGTCGAGATCTGCAGGTCATGGTGCCTAATCCCAAGAAGGGGGAGAAGAACTGGGAGACTATCCCCGTCCCTTCTGGCTAGTGGCTACGTACATTTATTCTGCTTTTCCTTGCCCTTTTCCTTTTGGTTTCTTACTCCTCTATTTTTGTCCTTAAATTTTGTATTTTATGCACGGCTGTGGAGTTTCAACAGCTTTTTGTCGTTTACTATTCTTGATTCCTAATAATTATGGTAAAACTACCTTCGCATTGGTATCGGGAATATTGGCGCGCCTATCTATGTTTTCTTTTTTTTTTTTTTTATACAATGATGATACCATTCATTCCTTTTGCCAGTCTGCAGGGCGCATCAAATTCCATTCCTAAGATGGCTCCCTTTTGATAAACGCTTATCAACTTGGGATATCCCTCCATCAAGACCAGAGGTTCCGCCAGAGACAGGTCTGCTTTTATGAAGACAATGCAAAGTGTAGCTCTGCTGCGCTTTCTGCTGCACTTTCTGCTGCGGCTATGCTCGTGAATGCGGGACGTGCGGAGACGTTCATCTACGTACAATTTTACGTACAGATATAAACGAAGGATACCCCTTAATCTTACCTTTGAATTCATCTAAGCTCTCTTAGAAACCTTGCGATGAGGTACTGTAACAGTGTACACATGAACTACATGGCTATGTTGACTATCACCAGGACGCAAGAATGCTTCGTATGAGGCGGTAAAGACAGTGACCAAGATATCCAGCTCGATGATGATGGCATCGTTTTCTTCACTTAGCTGCTTAACAAATACCACCATGAGCAGTGAATACACATCTGGTGGTCCCCTGAACTCTTGTCCAGCCACCATTAACTATCCTCCACCATCAGTTCAATGCAAACAGCATATCATCCTCCCATGGATCATCTCATCCTAATGTATTTCATCCCTTAACACCAACGTACAGTACTGCATGGAGTGAATACATATTTGGTGCGGCCCCTGAAGACTTTCCAAGCTAGCATAAATGCCTTCGACCCCAGCATGTCTTCCCCCCATTAAGCTTCTCCATCCTGACATATCAACCTCCCAACATGGCCCAAAATCCGTTTTAAACCAGTCTCACCAACTCATTCAACCCTAATTCCACCTAAACAAGAACAAACCAACAACTACACACCACCACCACCACCACCACCACCACCACCGCCAACCAACAAGCACAGCAAAACTGACATGGCGCAATGAAAGCAACTATGAGCTCCCCATCCCTTCCACCTCTCGCTAAACAAGCTCCAAACATCCCTATCAACCGAAGCAAAACTCCTCGTCGAAACTTTCGATGAAATCGGCAACGCATCCGGCCCCGGCGGCTTGTGGGCAAGCAAGTGGGCCGTGAAGGAGGGAGAGAACCTTCCCGTCTACCATAAAGCCAGCAAACCAAATCTAAGACCAGCACGAGAGCAGCAACAACAGAAGATCAAAAGCGAAGAAGCCAAGATCCATTAACGGATCACCGAAGCCCGACCAAGTTGATACATTCAAAAATGACCAGCAGCATGATGTGAAGCAGGCAGACGGAGGAAGCAAGCTAGCAGCAGCAAGCAACCGACCTGCTCCCATTCAAGATGGGAAACTTACGAGGATTCTCCGGCTTGCAGACGTGAGCAATGGAAGCTACTACGGCATCCCTGCTTGCGCTGGTTGGACAGTGTATTGATCCCGGGTTGGAGGGGATTGTGGATGTTTGGGAGCTAGAGGAGGTAAGAATGACTCTTTTTATACCCCTTTGTTTCTTCTTTCGCTTCTCTTTACATATATATATACATGTCTCATGCTTCTTCGCAGCGATCTGATTACAAAATACTTATATGTGATTGCTATGCAACTACAGATGCGCCGCACGATTACACTTTATCTCAAGTCCACCAGCAAAGCCACACTCTTTTGCTCGCTACTTGGTCGCATGAAGAGCTGGTCTGGATGTAGCTTGATTACGCGACTGAGTGCTAATTCTGTAAATTTACTTTCCCCTCTGATTTATGTTTTTCTCTGAAGTTCGTTTCATTAATATATATCTATATACAAGGTGTTAAACCGCCACGGCTAGCTATTCGGATTTGAAAGGAAAACAAAAAGATAGAGAGAGAATGGGAATGGATGATGAGAATAGAATGGTTTCTTTAACTAGTTAACTTTAACTGAGGTAAGATTGTTTGATAAAATATCTTCATACGCAAATTCAACAGCAAGAACTGTATACCGGTTATAGAGCAAAAAGAAGGAAGAAAATAAAACATTACATCTCTTTTGCTCAATATGGACCTGTAAAAGATAAAATATTTGCACTAATTTCCTCTAACATCCTTTATTTCTCAGGTCTGAAACCTGAAAACCCATAGAGAAGTTAAACAAAACAAAACCAAAAAAAAAAAAAAAAAAAAAAAAAAAAAAAAAAAAAAAAAAACCCAGGTCTTGTCGAAGGCTAAAAATCTAAAAATTTCAATGGAAAAAAAGCTAAGTACAGGCCAACTTAACACAATAAGAAATAGTTCCAAAAGAAAAAGTGAAGAAAAAGAAGAAAAGATATTCACAACATCATGAGATTCATTACGAATGATAAAGGTCGAAGAATCAAACCCAAAGGGTGAAATACACACAAACAAATCACCAATGCCATTGTCCGCGAGAAGCCCGCCTGCCTACACTTGGTTCAAAGCCGACAAGGCACATTCACATAGTGTAATAATGTACTCCAGGATGTTTTTCAATCGTAACCTAGCAAGGGGAGACAGGAAGAAGGGGGAGGTAAGAGAGTGAAAGAAATAAGAACCATGAACAAGAAAAAACAAGAGAATCTTTTGAAGATAATTTTGTAACACATTGCCATATAGAGAAGTATTCTCACAGTATGAAGAGTAGAATAGACAAGAGAATAGACACAGAAAAAAAATATGAGAAGAAAAAAATAACGAATTGAAGAAAAAAAATCCTCTTATGGCATATTAATATAAACGTCAAGAGATAACAAGAAGAAGAGGCAGTAGTAAATAAGAGTAAGGTGACTAGAGCACATCATATCCTCCATAAAACCTCCACACGATAATTTTTTTGGTTGTTCACATGAAAGTATTGAGTGAAATTTAAACAAGTGATGAGGAAAACTATATTTTCGAATGGAAAAGAAGACCATATGGTGGAAAAGAAAAGAAACAAAATAGAAGATAGTTCTTTGAAATAAAAGAACACTAGAGACAGCAGTTAACGCCGTACAAATTTCTTTTCAGACGAAGGTCTTTGCATATTCCCCAGGGGGAAGTGGGTGGGAACGGATCCATCGTGAGAAAAAAAGGATTGCCTCTTGATCCTCCCTGTGGACGGGTCCCTTTCTTAACCCCTGAACGATCCAGCGTAAGGGGATTGGCACGGAAACTCCTCCACAAAATTTTCTGCCGAAGACGTTTCGTATTGAGTCACAAGGGGAAGGGAGAGGTTCTTTGTTGTCAGGAAATTTACCAAAAAAAAAAAAAAATCAAATGTTCTTTAGACGAGAAAATTAGAAAAGAAGAAGGAAAAATGGAGAAAAATGGTCTTCAAAACACGTCCGACAGTATTTGCACAGTCTGCCTTTATCTCTGTGGAAATGAGAAGTATGTTAGTTTATCTAGACCTGAATAAAGCAAACATGTTAAAAAGGTAGCGGATAAGGGTTTGGAGTCAGACGTAAGGAAAGGGTCAAGTTACACGTCCACGGCGTCCGCCAGGTAGTGGCACCTGAGCGGCATTAGGTTGCTGGTAGAATGGCTGTGGGTAGGAAGGATACATCTGTCCATTATTCACAGCCGGATTGAACTGAGGTGGCACGAAGGCAGGCTGATGCAGCATTGGACTCGCATTTAATTGTGCGGGAGGACCCCGGAGAGGTGAGTTATGTGGTTGCATGGCACGGAAGGTGTCTATCGTGGCGGCGGGAGCTGCTGCAAAGCCGTTGAAGCCTGCTCCAGCCATTTGAGGAGCATAAAATCCAGCTGGGGATATGCCACGGGACTGGGCTGCCAGAAATGCTTGATATTGGAGTTGTTGTTGGGTCATTGGTATCGTAGTTTCTTGTGGGAATGTTGGGTTGTTGTTCAAGGCTTGCAGGTTCATTAACCCATTGACACCGTTGATACCACCCATTGCATAAATATCATAGGGAGGAAGGTTATGCTCTGATGAAATCGATCGTGCCATTGTTGTTGGAGAATCGAAGGACTGATGAGGTTGGAGCCCTGGTGCAAACTGTCCACTGTACTGTCTCTCTGGTAGGGGTGGGCCATTATAATTGTTTTTGCTGGCTTGTCTAGATGTCGGGCGGTTCTGATTCTTGTCATTACCACTATGCGCATTTTGGCTATCCCTAGTGTGGTGAGTAGTATCCCGAGAGCCTCCTGAGCTCCGGGACGATAGCCCAACCTCATCCATTAACCGTTTATAACCTTGACTTGTTGTGGTTTTCAACTTCGTGAGAACTTTAGAAACGGTTTTGACAACTTCGCCTCGCATGCTCTCATCAAGGAAAGGTGTTGTAAGAACTTTAAAAATTAATGTCGCCCCCGATGTCTGGTCACTGAGAATCTTCTCCAAAATTTCATCTCCGGGGCTGTAGAAAAGGGCTTTCAGTACAATTTCTCGGGCCTCTGGTTCGTTCCTCTGGTTGATAACTTTGAGGACAGTTAAATATGCAACTTTGTGGGTGCAAAGGTGGACAAGATGGGGAACAAGGAGAGGGGCAAGAACAGTACGTCGACGAGGAAACGTGCATGTATCGAGGAACCATGTAAGAAGCAAAGCACCGTTTGCGTTGGTTGCCAGCTGAACGCTGTGAAGGGCGATAGCGGCAGCCACCATACGCTGTTGATCCTTTGTTGCATGGTGACTTTCTAAGCACGCACGCATAGCCCGCGCCCCAAATCGGCCTTGGGCGATCTCCCACATCCTACTGAGCATGGATTCGAATATAAAATCAGTGAAGGGAGTACCAAAACGCAAACAGCATTGCAGCACATAATTGCCATATTGATCCAAAAACAGTGGCACCGTGTACGGATGGAGGCTATCAACAATCGTTTGCTTCTGTGTCGTAGTTTTGGCCACGTCGATAATCTTTTGTGCGGCCCAGGTACCATTCTTGTGCACACCAATCTCAGCAAGATGAGGGGCAATTTCGACCAACATTTTCTCTTTAATGGGCTCCGAACAATACTCAAACAACTTCTGAACAACGGTGTTGCCTAGATAATCTGAAGACAATTCTGCGATCTCAGGGAGCATGCCAATTGCAATCTCCTCAATTTCATTCACCGGAAGAGTGCCGTTATCAATCCGTTTTCGAACATCTCGAAGTCTAGGAGCATCATGTACCCGAGTTTGGCTTGGTTCGGGAACGGGAGGTACTTCGTCCACAAATGAATCAAAACCAACTGCACGTTTAATACTGGACGTGATACTTCGACATTCTTCTTCGGATGCGTCAAATTCGGCAACAATTCGGCTCATTTCTGGTTGCAATTCAGACAGTTGTGGGATGACAGGCACATTGGACGTGGCATTATTTGCATTGTCCGCTGATGATGCTCCCTCTTGGCCCTCAGATGAATTATTTCCTCCATGGCTGCTGGTTGAGTCCAGAGAGGGCGAAGGGTGGTCACCATTTTGACCAGGAGTTGCCGCGCCTGAGGTCCCCGGGACTTTCGCAAATCCGATTCGAACTGGCCCCGCACCCGGGAATATTTCCTTTCCATTAAGAAGGGACTTAGCTTGAATAGCACTTTCGACACGTTCAAAGTTCACAAATCCGCAGCTTTTGTGGGTCAAAACCCTGGTCGACTCAATTTTGCCATGCACATTGAAAATGGCATCGAGGGAAGTGACTGTGGTTGAGACGGGGATGCTGCCAATCCACAACGCTCTGGTGGGACCATCAAGATTGTTTTCACCACCAATCTCAAGACCCTGTCGCACGCTTTGCATACCACCCAGTTGCATCATTTGAACAGCTTCCGGAATATCATCATACTCTCCTGTCTCGGAAATACGTAAGTCTGAAATGCTGATGCTGTTATCAAGTCTGGAAGGGGTCGCAAGATAGTTGCGGATCGACGACCTTTGAGGAGGTGTGTCCAAGACACCGGCAGTGCGAGCACGGGGACGATTCGCCGACGCATGGTTGGCAAATGCCTGTACAGCAAGATTGTGTTGATGAATTTGTGCCTGGGTTGCCGCTAGTTGGGCAGCAGTTGCTGCGGCCGAAGGAGTCAGGGTTCCGGATGGAACATTTGAATAATGGTGTCCGTAAGCTTCTTCATCATCTTCAGCGTATTTCTCCTTGGCATTCACAGAATAAGAGCGGAAACGGGTAGAGTTTTTATTCAGCAATACCAGGTCTGCAAGCAGAGGAGGTAGGGACGATGTCCGTTGTTGTTGTTGTTGTTGTTGTTGCTGTTGTTGTTGTTGTTGTTGTTGTTGTTGTTGCTGCTGCTGCTGCTGCTGCTGCTGTTGTTGTTGTTGTTGTTGTTGCTGCTGCTGCTGTTGTTGTTGTTGTTGTTGCTGCTGCTGCTGCTGCTGTTGCTGCTGCTGTTGGATGAGCTGATCAACGGATGGGCGTGCCAGTTGTGCCCGGACCTGCTGTGGAGTTTCAGCAAGGCCAAGGTAATCTAAGGTTCTAACGTCTGCATCAGCAAGACCATCTCTCGAGAACGAAGATTGGGCCGGTGAGACTGGTCCTTCAGATGATCGAATGCTTGTCAGAGTGGTTGCTCTCTCCCTCCCTGATGACCAGTTGGTGGAAAATAACGAAGGACCAAAAGGAGTAGAACCGCCAAGAACACTTGAGCGTTGAGGCATGGATCCGGCACGGAGGCGTGAAAGCAAAACTGTGCTATTTCCGCTCCCAGGAGCCGAACTTCTATTAGCGGTGTCGAGGGCCGATACAGCGGGAGGACGGAATGGGCTAGTTGATGGCGTGGGTCTCGAGGTTTTAGAGGTAAACGACGATTGGGCGCTAACACCGTTGAGTGAACCAACTGGAGAAAAGCGAGAGGGGACTGTCCCTGCTCTTGTTCGACGAGCGGGACTAGTGAGATTGCTCTCCGGTGCGGGGTTTAGGTCTGGGAACTCGTCTTGACTCGGGGATTCCGGTATATTTTCACGAAGAGGGGTTGAGTTGCCGCTTGTTGGGGGACCCCAGATATTTGGAGCAAGACCTTCTTGGGCCTGGATTTCTCGAGCTCTAATAAAATATGTCAGCTACAGCCGCGATAAGCAACGCGTGTCTTCAAGTAAATCCTTACCTCTTAGAGTACAAGCGAGCCCCAAGTTCATGAGAAGGGGATCCTGCCCCCATTCTTGCACTTCCAAGCGATCCTCCGGTGTTATTCAACCCATTTGAGCCTCCAAAGGAAGATTTCATGGAACTCGATCCTGGCTGCTCGTTGGGTGACGAGCTTCCAGTCGAGGTGCCAGACATGGGCTGTGAAGATGGAAGATAGTTGAGGTTGAGGTGGCCATCAGGCCTCGACGAGGGAGTCATTATATAATTAAGGTGTCTTTATGCTCAGGTGATAGAAGGATAATTTTCAAAATCTATAACTTCTCTCTGAGAAGAATAGGGCTGCCAATGGCTGGAGGGAAACGGAACAACGGGAATCTCTAGGGGTGGGCGAGATCATAGACTAATAAATAGCTCACGGTTCTTGTTGAGATTGCCACGGTTCTTGCAGTCCAGTGATAATTAAGCCGGTTATGGTAGAAAGAAAATCGTGGTACCTATTAGAAAGCATCCAACGCTCGAGGGAAGCAGGCCAGCTTTGCGCAATAATCCAGCAAGGGACTGCAGGCGGAGATATCTAGATGCTGTAGGACGATGGATACGTATAGTTTTGCGGGGCTGTTCTGAGGAGATATGGGAGGCTACAGGAAGTTGAAGTTAAATTGAAGATATCGAGTCGAAGGAATGACCGGGTCGGTATTCGACTGGAGTTTCAAAGCAGTTACGGAGAGCGGAATAAAGAAGATTGACGGATCTGGGCAATAAAGGTCGTGATTACAGACAGGTTTTGTTCGGGGAACTGGGGCAGCAGACGATCTTGAAGCCGCGTCGTGTTTTGTTAAGGCGAGTGAAAGTAGACCCGAGGGAAGAATAAGTCTTCACAGAAACATATCCAGCATTAAAATTGTATCGAAAAGGGATAGACGTAAGGTGAAGAAAAGAAAAATAAGAAGTGTCGTCGAGACAGTTGGGCGTGGAACGATTCTAAAGGGAGGAACAGGTCTCAGGAAAGAGGAATAAGGAGGCAGCTGGGGAGAGCAAAGCTGGTTGGTTAACGGCGTAGGATGTGAGACGAAGAAAACGCACCAGTCAGGGGTGTCCAAAGAAAAGGGCTAAAAGAGAAGGAGGGGCAATGGGGGACAATTAGTAAAGACGGGGCGTTTAGAAAGATGGAGGGCTAAAGGAACTGGGAAAAGAGAAAGAGAAGAGGAGGAGATGTGGAAAATGTAGAGAGATTGAAGAGACGTGGGATGGGAGGAGGACGGGGGGAGGGGAGGAGGGAGGCGTGCAGATGGCGGGATGGCGGATGGCGGATGGCGGATGGCGGATGGAGGATGGAGAGGTGTTGAAGAAGAAAAAGAAGAGAAGTTAGGATGAGAAAAAGACGACGAAAAGAGGAAGAAGAGGAAGAGGTTGTTGATGTTGTTGGAATTTGGAGGATGGTGCTGATGATGGCCCACGGGTTGGAGGAGGTTGGACGTTGTCGAATGAGGCTTAGTTAGGGGAGACACTGCGAAGTCACAGCGAACGAAGTCACAGCGGAGCCCAAGGCTGGTTTGGGCCGGCCGCGTCGGGCTTAGCTCGGGCCGCCTGGAACTTCTGCTACATGTCAGCCAGCAGCAGAGAAACCTTCGGGTCATACATACGTACATACATACATACATACAATACATACATACATCCATACATACATCAATACATATACTTATTTAATTCCATCCATTCATTCAATGTATTCCATAAGGTCGATTATCTTCTGCTCTTGTCCTTTTGACTCAGCCAGGGAAGTTAGTGATAGTCGGATAGCTGCAGCTGCTTGCTCATGTCTCGATGTCTCGATATCCTCATTGCCTAACTAAAGACATGTTTCAAGCATGAGCGTTGAATGCTTGTATATATGGGTAGATCTTGTCTCTCCTGTCAACTTACCCCCCAGGCTAATGCTCCAATTAAATACAAAACAGCCGGTCTGTCAAACAGTAACCGACCCAACCTGCTTGGATCACAGAACGAATAATACTCCAAGCACGGGTTTTTACAAAGAGCATCTAGTTCGCGGTCGCACGGCCAACTCACCAATCAATCAACATCATTCAACTTGAGAACAAGACCTGGGTCAAAAAAATGGTGCCATCGTGGCAGGGCCAGAATTTACAGTTTCCTTGACTTGACCACCTGAACTTCTCATCTGGATCCGGACCGCTATAGATTCAAATGTCCTGCGAATATACTTTGCTTTCCTCAACAGTTCACCGTTAGTGTCGCAGAAACTCCTTGCCCGTGATTCTAGCTCTTGTCCCATGGGACTTAAGGCTTTGTGCTCTCTCAAACCGCCTCCACAGAGTCCACACAACGTCTGGCTCAGCGCTTTCGAGAGTGCATCATGATCTAGCCTCTTTGCTCTAGAAACCTTCATTTATCTCCACCGTATAGTTAGTATGGCAAGAGGAATTAGTATCCAATTACATGAGGAAGAATGGCTCTGGTCTGCTAATCCAGGGGGTGGGAGCACTGTTTTAACTACGGAGTAGCTATGATAGCCCGATCCAGTTCTCGATGAGAGACAACCAGTGCTAACCCCCGAATCATAAACTCACATAGTAACGCAGCAAGAAGAAACATCAACGTTCTCCTCACGCAGCGCATCTCTTGGATTAGAATATCCTCTCTACACATCCCATACGCCATAAGGATTTTTATCTCACCAACTACATGCATCCCCACAGCTTTAAATTCATGTTACTCAACTCACATGAAGAAGATGATGTATAGAAATAAACAAGAGAAAGACCCCTGTTGTGAAACAAGAAGAACCACACGAAACCTCAAAGTACGTGGGATGCCAACGCTTGCATGATGTCCAATTGCCCAATAGGTGTACAGCTTTTCAGTTCGTGAAACATGTTGCACCCTTGGGAACATGACCGACCAAAAAAAGCCTTTGTCTGGGGTATTGTTGCCTTTCTCTGTTCCCTCTCTTTTTTGTTCTCTTTGGTGATTGATTGATTCTTTCGCCTCGGTCCAATGTCAAATTCATCAATTCCGTTTTCATATAACTTGCTTATCTTCTGGCCTTCTTAATTTTAATTTTAAATTATTTTATTTCTGGCTGGGCTGAGAAATAACTTGTGATCATGTTTGTTAAGTTCAGAATGCCCAGGTTTCTTTCCCGCCTCCCCTCCCCATTATAGTTGACAGGCAGCGACGGCCCGTTTGAGAATCTAGGCAAAGATTACTAGAAGCATCGTCTTGATTTTGCATAGCAATTGCGGAGAACTTGCAAATCACCGATGGACCGGTGGGGGGGTTAGTTTACCTTTGTTCTTGAAACGTAAATCAGCCAATCAACTGAAGTTATGTGGAAATTGGGTCCAGTTTTGACGCCAGCTGGATGAGATCGAGGCTGCAGACGGTCTTGCCAATCACACCAGTGATATGCTGTCAATTTCGAAACGGCTCAAAAGAGTGCGTGACACCTCACGTAAACCATCCTAATAACAGGAAAAAGGAGTGTCGGCGTATATAACTAAACTACCCGCGTCCAAAACAAAGAAAGTTGCCTGCCTGGAAATAAATTTAGGCCAAGCATTCCATGGATTGCACCAGGTAATTGCACCCGCAATTACCTCATACTTTCCTCAAGAAACTTTCAATAAACGAGTGTAATCCACGGTTCTGCGGTGCTCGTTCTAAGCCTAGAATCTTACTAAGGATCGAGCCTCTGTGGCGCACCCTAGCCACAGCAAACCCCCACTAGCCACATCTTCTGGAAGGGTTACCTAAGCAGCGATAGGTTGCAGAAAGACTTGGGAAGAAGATAGATATTGGTACAGAACAACAACATCATGCGTGAGGAGTGTATTTTAACCTTATAAAGAAGGAATCTAATGGGGTTGTTATCTGCGATCTGCCCATGTTGTTTACAGTGCAGGGCTCACAAAGGTTTCCTTAAATTTACAGGCCAAAGTTGCCTGCACAATTAGCTGATCCTCTTCAACGGTCTATCTCCTAGCTAGATAATATGATCTCGGTGCAACCCTGAAATTGCTCGACAAGACCGTCTTCCTCACCCGTTTCAGTGCTCTTAACTTCCACCTATCCATTTTGCGAGTTTCATCCCATTTTCTAGATCACGTCTATTGAAGGGGGGACCGTTAGAATAACCTCCTCTTTACTCCAACCCCCCAATGCAACAATGGCGGACGATTTATCAATGACAGACGCAAGGAACGGCCAGGAGGATGAACTCGTCTTGAGTCTGGCGAAGGGGCGGGTGCGGAGAAGCACAGCGGGCGGACGTATGACGGCTCTCATCGACGCAGAAGCTGACGATGAGCTGGCCCTTCTCTTCGCGGAACAGGAAGATGACGAAGAATTTATAGGCGCCTCAGAAGAAGGGAATGAGGAGGAAGGAGAAGGCGGTGAGGAAGCGGACGACATGATCATCGACTCTTCATCCGACGACGAAGATGATCAGGGTCCCAATGCGCAAGAGGATGAGTTGGAAGGTGAAAGGGAGCTGCAGAGGCAGGCTAAGGCAGAGCGGCTAGCGAAGAAACGAAAGGAACAGGAAGGTGGAATAAAATTCCCCGCGTTGCGGAAGAGGGTTAAAATCGATCCCTCTGCGGCGGGGAGGGGGCCAGCGATCCCAACCTCGCGCCCGAAGAAGAAATCAGAGCGGATATCCTGGCTTCCAACGCCGGAGGATGGGCCGACACGTTCCTCGTCCCGAAAGCAGACTGTGCAAAACAAGGAGATGACACATGCGCGGTTGAAGGATAGTGAGGAGAGGCGTGTGCGGTTGATTGCGACGATGGAAGAGGCGGCGAGGCGGAAGCAGAAGTTGAAGCCGAAAGTGATGACGCAGGCGGACCGTTTGGCGGAGGCGGCGAAGACGGAGCAGCTGAATAGCAAGAGTTTGAATCGGTGGGAGGAGATGGAGAGGAAGAGGACTGAGGAGCAGCAGGCACGGCTGGCGGCGTTGCAGAATCGGAGGTTGGAAGGGGCCGTGATGACGTGGTGGAGCGGATTTGCGAAGTGGATTAATGGGAAGTTGGTGCAGGTTGGGATGAAGGAGATTAGTCAACCAGCGGAGGGTGAGAGGAGGAGGAAGGGGAAGGATGGCGACGATTTGTCGAAGAGGGGGAAGGCGAAGAAAGGGGAGAAAGGGGAGAAGGGGGAGAAGGGGGAGAAGGGTGGTGATAAGAGCAGTGGAGCGGGTCAAAGTTTAGAATCACACAGTAGGAAGAAGGGGGATGGACAGGCCCAGGAAACGAAGAAAGATGATCAAACACAGCACAACACATTTACGTCGCAGGCGCCAGCGAATTTCTTGGATGGAATTCATCTGTTTGCTTCTATGAAGGATGATACGTCGATGTCATCTGCGGCTCCTCAGGGCCAACCAGCGAAAGCCCCTGTATCACAAGTATCCACACCCCCAAAGCCATCAACATCTCAACAACGACAACAAAAACCGCGTTTCCAGGCACCAACTGTCGAAGGAATACCAGCAACGACTACAACAGCACTAGTCCTTCCGGTACCTGCATCCAAAGAGTTGAAATCTACACCACAGCTGTCACAAACAGTAGATGAAGAACCTCAGAAACGATCCCTGCGAATTGAGGTTGAGATAATGAGGTCTGAAGACAGCCCAGCGACAGGGTCACCGTCTTCGCAGCAGCCACCTAATGAAAAACCGGAGACGCAAGCAGCACCTCTACAAGTCAAAGAGAACAAGAATAGCGATGATAGCGATAACGCTCAACACCAACAAACTCAATCCCAACCCACCCCTACTACTCCTTCACCACTCATCCAACAACCACCGCCGGAGCAAAAACAGCGGCTGGAGCAACATCAAGAAAAGGAACAGGGACAGCAAGAACAAAATCAACAACCTATACCCACCCCACCACCGGCAATCGAATACTCATCCCGCAACCTCATAATCCTCGAAAACTTCGAAAACAAAACCCCTCAAGAACGAGAAGAGTACAATATATTCTTCAATTCCCGCAAACCGCAGAAACTACAAAGTAAGCCCGGCCCCCTATCCTCCCTTCATTTTCCTTCTCTTCAAAAAAAAAAAAAGAAAGAAAGAAAGAAAGGAAAGGAAAAAGAAAAAATAGCAAAACCATACTAACTAACCGCAGAAATCCCCCAAGAGCTCTGTCCCATAACCTCCCGCCCCGCCCGCTACCGCGACCCAGAAACTAACCTCCCCTACGCCAATGCTGCCGCCTACCGCGAGATCCGCCAGACGTTGGCGAACCGGTACGCCTGGAGCGGGTTGCTAGGCTGCTTTGTGGGCCCCGTGGGTGTGGGTGCGAGAGGTGTGCCAGAGAGGTTCTTGGCGCCGAATGCGCCGCCACCGTCGTCTCTGCAGGAGGGGAGTAAAGGTGTTTGAGAGGTTTGCAGATGATATCCCAGATTGGTTTTTTTTTCTATGTTGTTTATAATTCAGAAAGGAGCCCACATCTGATTCCCAGGACTCTTGGCTTCTTCTAAGCCTCTCTCCTACGCCTCTCTCTTTTTCTGCAATACATATCACCTCCGTTAAGCGGTCCCCATAGCTTAAACATCTGGGCATACAATTTCGAATTGGGGACCTAGGCTGTCATGAGGGCTTTCCTGGGCTGCTACGTCCGTGATGATAACTTTCTGGTAGCGATAGTCATATGTAATTTTGAGGAGAATTCCATCTTCCATATTGGACTTAAATTGATTGCGGTAGATTTTCCAGTAAAACTCCTTTAAAAAGCATGTGTTTTGTAGGTTCAACTACAGCCATAGGAAAATGATAAAATAGCTCAATAGATAAGCAACCAGTTAACCTTGGTTTGTAAAAACATTTCGATCAATTAATTACGAGTTACAAGGTTAGGAAGTTATTTTTCATTGTTACTAATTTTGGGAGCTATGTGCTATCCATGGATGCACCAAGGTCTTCGAACCCCATCAAAAGGTTTGTACGTGTACCCGGTTAGGGCGCTGCCCCTGAAAAAAAGTTTCTTCCATGTTCCATATATAACAACGACCGACTTCTATTCCTTGACTCATTGACTAAGTAAGTTCAGACCCACCCACCGACCGAGAGTCGATCAGCTCTGGCGTAAATGTGGCCTTTTTGGAGTATGTATTCCTAAAATAATAAAAAAAAAGGCCATGCCAGAGTTCCTCAGTGAACTGGGACTCTTTTTCTTCATTTTCTTCTTCTTCTTCTTCAGTTATTTATTTATTTACACCAGCATATATGTCGGTTTCTTTGCAATTCTCTTCTCTGGTTGTGACATCCCAACACGAGGAACAAGGAGACATAACGCATACATATATTCAGCAACCATCTACCCAAGTCATTATCCAGTTAGTATGGTGCACTATCACGTCATTGATGGCTCCATATCCATCAGTGGGGCTGCCTCAACTTTCAAACTGATTCATTCTGAATACTCGCAGGGCCAACAAAAACACAAACACAAACACACACCTTTTTCTACAGAGTCCACCGAGCAGCTAATCCAGAATAACTGCCGGTCGATCCTCTATCCACATCTTTTTCAGCGCGGGTCTTGCCCAAGCATCTAGGCAATTGGGCCGCTCAATTGGCCAATTGGATCCGGTTCCTGGGTGTTGACTGACCCCGGGTAGCAGCGGGATGGTCCACTTGGCTGGTTTGGCTGAGAGAAGAATAGGGCACTTGTTGCTCTGGCAGACATCTGTGTACATGATACAGGCAGACCGCTCCACTTTCCACTTCCACGACCAGTGATAACTTCCATGAGACAAAGCGAAGTGAGCGAGCGGAAAACTTGAGGAGATTGATTATATGGGTCCTGGATGTTTATCTGGTCCATCCCTCGCCGTGTAACTCTCCAGATAAGCCCGGTAAGGCCTTGGACGGTCGCAAAGAGGAATTATTTAGTACAGAACAGGGAACCAGAACGAATAAAATAAATAAGAAACCGAGAAGAGCAGGGCGACAAAGGGTTGGGTAAAATAAATAGCATCCCTCATCCCACATATCTATCTACCAGCTCTTCTTGGTTCTCTGGTCCTCTGCTTTCTCTGATTGCTGCGTTTACTCTCCCTATCTGGCTATCTCGATTCCAATTTATTTTTTTCCCCCCCTTGTGCTTGAATTCCACCTCTGATCCATCGACACATACCCATCCACCCACGCAGATCCTATTATGTGCAGATACATGCCTACGTACACAGTACATACATAAACTTCTGTCCGTCCGCCGGCTTGTTCAAATAGCAGCCGTCCAATTATAGCCCAGGGTCTAACCGCTATCGCCCTCATGACCCAGAACCAGCATCATCCTACTTTCCCATATCCCCTTCCGTCTGATCCCCCGCCGTATCTACTCCATTTCTACCTCTCTCATAAACGCCATCTCCCCACCACAGCCTGCAATGCGAAACAACCTCGCCTTTCTCTAACACGCCAACGACTCGCTCGTCCGTTGGCTGCGAAATTTCCTTTGCCTCCTCCTGTATCGCCAAGGTCTCGCAAGCTACCGCGCAGACCACCTGTGGTTGTGCAAACAGTTGCACCAGAGGACAAGGAGCAGCATCTCTCAATGGCGACCCCTTTCTTGCAATTTTGGTATGTGGTGGTCTTTGTTCCAATTGAAGCTTTGTTTTTATCTTTTATATACTGATAGTGATGGCGTCTTGTTAGTGCCACCTGTGAGAGACAGATAATGATCCCAAGTGACTCCATCCTTTATTGCAGTGAAAGGTATGTCAAAATCAATCATGTCACTGGTTCAAATTTCACCTGAAAGCTGCTGTTTGTTCTTGGCCAACTTCTAACTCGTCCACTTTGCACAACAAAATACAGTTGTCGACGAAAGGATGCAACAAAGTCCCTAGAGATCACTTCTCAAAAGACAACATGCGGCACAATGCCACCAATAGTTTCGGGCTCATGGCCAAAATCCTCTCCCTCCTCCCCAACCAAAGCCAAAGTCAAAGCCAAAGCCAAAGTGAATGTGAAAGCCATTACTGTCCCAACGAGCCCCTCAAACCGCACCTCGCGCTCGCTTCCTTCGGTTCGAACACCCACCACACATGACAGAATTTCTCATCTAGATCCAACTGAGTGGAAACCAATCTGTAAAAGAATCCACAGTAGAAGCAACTCCATTACATCCAGCGAGGCTTACCGTTACCTATCGCTATTTCAAAAAGCAGAACCCCTCGCCCTGGTCACAGATAATGGCGGCGGCGGCAGCGGCAGGAGCAGCAGTGCCCATCCTGTCCCCGTATCCGATGGAAGTTCAACCAGCATCTCCACGACAGGCCAGGGCACTGTACCATCCCTAGCGCATTCCCCCACAACATCTGCTACCTCGTCAGTCCTAAACAGTCCTACCGAAACAGTCTCATATGCACCTCCCCACCCCTTCCCACCATCCCACGCCGCCATCCTGCCAGAGCCCTCCCAGAAGCATCGTCAATCTCTCTCGCCCTTTGTATCCCGCCTCAACAGCTCAAGTGGCACGGGTTCTGGGATTTCTCGGGACCTCGATCTTGTCGCCGTGCCCTTCATTGCAGACCCGAATAACGATGGGTCATCAGCCGAAAACGGTAAGAAGACTGCGGCAGCTGCGTTTATAAGCTAAGAAAAGCTTGTGCAGGGGAATCTCCCTACGAGTTGTGCATATTACCGAACCTGGTCTCACCCCAGCTTGAATTACAGTTATTCCTATTGGGCGTGTCAAAATTATGGTGACAGTGGTGGTGATGGTTGGAGGTGTCTGACAAATGGAAATTTAAATTTTTCATGTGGGACAAGTGAAGCAAATACTAAAATTTCCCTGTAGCTCTGTATCATGAATTTAATCTCAGCGTTTATTTTTTATTTTTATTTTCTTCTCTTCTTTTCTTTCTTTTATTTTCTTTTATATATATATATATATATATATATTTATTTATTTATTCGGAAAGGGGGGTGTTTCATTTACATTCTATGAATCTGACATTTGTTCATATGGTTTGTTTGAAACAAGTCTCCCATGTTATCCTATTTCATGGTTTACCTTTATTTTCTATTTCTATGTATGTATGACTTAAACGCATTCATATGCTATATGTCATCTTTCTGTCCAAGTCTCTCTCTCAGGCACTTTTCAGAAGAGAGAAAAGAGGAAAAACAACTTGTGAGAGGCGTGAAAATCTCACAAGTCCAATTTGTGGCTGTTTTCCTAGATTTTTGCTTATCTGTTTCGCATTATTTTTCTTTTTCTCTTCTTGCAGGCTACGGCCTGTGCTGGTCAATTCCCTTACCCACACTCCCCCCCCATTATTTCAAAAAAAAAAAAAAATAAAAAAAAAAAGGGTAAAAAAAAACCAAAAATTACTCTTCTTTTTCAATGATTTTGTTAGAGATGATAGAAATGTTAAAGTCAGCAGCTATGATTTCAAAGAGCCATCTCTAGAGGTATTCAACTGGGTTTCCTTCTCATCTTCCCTATTCCTTTGGTTAGGTACAAGAGAGGTGAAGAAACAATTTCGCCCCCCTCTTTATCTTTGGTTCTTTTCTTATTGGAAGCAGCAAATCGAGGTATGTTGAAATCCCCTGAAGACGCAGCCTATTTTGTTAACATTTAAACATCATTTTGATTAAATATTCGACTTTAACCGTTCTCGATAAATCAAGCTAAATGATCCAATAAGCCCTTTAAATATCTGCTAAAGGGTACAAAATGTTGATATGCATACATGAATCTCTCCACCGTCTATCTCCTATTAAGATATCCCAACATCAATCCCACCCCGTCCCAGCCACTTACTGCACACCTTTCCATTTTCCTTATTTTCTCCTCTCTCTCCTTTCTCCGAAAAGAAACACCTTCATAGCCACCTCCCTCTCCGCCACAAACTCCCTTGACAACTTCTCTCGGCGGCATTCTCTCCAACCACAAATGAATATGTGAGGAAACTCCTTCTGTTGATTAACCCACCACCCTCACCCGCTTCAACAATCTTCGCCACCGCTAACTGCCAAGGCACAAATGACCAAGTCGTCATACGAACACTTATCCCCAACCAAGATACTTCTTCACCTTCCCAGCACCACATAAATGCCCTCCGGCGTCAACTTCCCAAACAACCAACCCATCAATCACTCCACAGAGCCTTCTAACCTCCTTAACATACTCGCTTAAATCACAAGACTCCAACTTCCCCGGGATGATAAATTTCGGAAGAAAAAACGCCTGTCCAAAAATTACCGCCCCTGCCTGGACATCTGGAAATTGCAACAACCATTGAACCGTTTGCCAGCCCTCTGCCATGCCGTGCTCAAAAGCTCAACTTCCGGTCCTTGGGTGTCATAGGTGCCGATTAGGTATTCCATGATTGCGCCCGGATCCCCAGAACGTGAGACCCGTGTTG